AATAGAAGCGGCAACACCGCATTGTCGAAAATATTTTAGTTGGCTAGAGAATGTCCGAATATGCCCTCCATTAAATTTTCAAAGTGATCCGTTGTCTGGTTCACCAGAAACGTCTAATGTGCCATCCACCGTGAATCAGCCTGTATATATAAGCACCTTTTTTTTGACTGATATGTCCGCTAAGTTTCCTCTTTATTTTTTAATTCATTTCAGATGGGCTGAAAATTCCCGGGACTAAAGAAGAAACCCCCGTTTTGTTTAAATTTGTCTTTATTCATCAACGTTATCTCCATCATGAGTCACACAATCATTACAGAGCCGCTCTAACATCACAATACCACTTTTGTAGAACGATTCGTCTTTTACTTCAAAATAGCTCTTAGTTTCAGCAATAAGCTCTTCATTCGAGCGGAAATTCTTACCGATGAGAATTTTTTGACGTCTGCGAACGGCAAGTAGTCACTGGGAGCCAAATCTGGCGAATACGGTGGACGTGGGAGTAATTCGAAGTTCAATTCATGTAGTTTTGCCATTGTTCTGATTCACCTGTGACAGGATGCTTTGTCTTGATGAAACATTTTTTTTCTTTGCCATATGCCGTCGTTTCTTCACAAGTTCGGCCTTCAACCGCTCCAATAACGCTATATAATATTCACTGTTGATGGTACTTCCCTTCCCAAGATAGTCGATGAATATTACACCACGCACATCTCAAAATACCAAGGCCATAACTTTCCAGCTGATTGTTGTGCTTTCGGGCGCTTTGGAGGAGGTTTACCAGTTGCTCTCCAGTCAGATTAGGATCGTTTTGATTCCGAAGTGAAATGATGGATCCATGTTTCATCTATTGTCACATGTCGACGCAAATATTCCGGTTTATGTTTAAACATGGCAAAGCACTGCTCAGAATCATTGAGACGTTCTTGTTTTTGGTCAACAGTGAGCACGCGCGGCACTCATTTTGAACAAAGCTATCTCATAGTCGAATGCTCATGCAATATAAAACCAAAACACTCTTTTGATATCTTCACAATGTCAGCAACTTCACGTTTCGATCATTCAAATAGATTTCGTGGATTTATCTATGGTTTCTGGTGTTAGTGCCTCATTTGAACGTCCACTGTGTTCTGTATCAACAGTGTATCTACGACCACGATTGAAGTCACCAAACCAACGTTTAATTGTTGTTTCTAATGGAGCGGAGTCCTTATAACACTTTTCAGGCCATCGCCTCGCTTGAACGGCATTTTTCACATCAAGAAGCAGTGTAAAATCAAAACACGAAATGGTTTTTGAGCCATTGTTTTGAAAATAACCAAACTCATGAGTAGAATATCATAAAATCTCAACAGCTTCCTTTTGAAGGTTAGAACTAACTGAAAAAGCGATGAATGCCAGCCCAGGTAGTATGAATAATAATAATAATAGATTTTTTTACTGTTTCGACAGCCTGGTATGGTACACTTATCCAATTCTACAAAGGAACTGCTACCCAAACAGAGATACATCGTGATGAAGAGGGGGACCATTCAATTGAAAGTGAGTGAAACAACGTCATAATGCGAACGTAACCTCAAAACACGACTCTACAAAGCTAAACTCATTCTCTAATATCGACTGTTTTGTTCAAGTGGAATACTCAAAACGAAAAATTGATTTTCAGGGCAAAGGAAACGTGATTACATTCTGGTTATTCGAGAATATCTACAATGACGATGAATATGAAGAGTCGTGAAAAGCGAATAGTCATCTATTTATGCATTTCTATATGTATATTGTTTTATATAGTTCTAAGTTGATGTGTATACAGGATTGAGTTTTCAATAATAAAGTTCGCTCGCTATTTTTTTTTTCATCAAAAAATGCATGGAAGCTGACGCCTAGTTCTTCCGCTATCCCACGCACTGTTTGTGATGGGTCAGTCTCCGCCAGAGTCCTTCTGGATTACTGTAGGTTAACCACTTTGGGGCTCATCTTCAACAACCTAATACACTCCCGGGCATGCAATTTTGTGTACTGTTGTCAATGTTGGTGTATCGAAATGACCACAAATTCTCTTGTTGCGGCAAGAATTGTGGCGGCTTCGAAAAATGGCCGCGGTCGGCGCCAAATTGCAAGAATCGTTAGTGTAAATCTCTCAAGTGAGCAATGAGAATGGCGGTGGTACCACGAAACTAGTCTGCTAACTCGAAGACTTGGTTCAGAGCGAGACAGAACTACAACAACTAGAGATGACTACTTTCTCGTATCGTTCGAGAAACCGAACAGTTACGCCAGTTTCCCTTTGAAGACACCTGCAAGATGTCAGAAATATAAATATAAGTGAGTGGACAGTTAGAAGACGACTCCGTGTTTCTGGATTATCTTCTCGAACTAAAGCTACTGGACCGCCGCTTTCATGTGAATACCGGATAACAAGATTGAATTCTTCACTTGGCCTGGACAGTAGCTGATATAAGACGTGTATTATTTGGCGATGAATCGCGATTCTGCCTTACAGGCTAAGATAGACGTTTGCGAGTATGGAGACAACCAAGCCAGAGATATGCTCAAGCGCGTGTATTGCTGGCGGATCAGTTATGGCATGGGGAGGCATATCGTTTAACGCTCGCATATGGAGTTAGTCCTTACCGAAAATGGGACATTGAATGTGCATGGGTACCTGATGGAGGTTCTTCAAGAACATGTTTTACCACACATGTCTTTTCTTGGAGGCGACGCAACATTTATGCATGGTAATGTACACACCCAAACTGCCCGGATCGTTACTCAGTATCTTGACGAGGTTCAACTCACGCGATATGTTTGGCCTGGGTACAGCCGGATTTAAATCACATTGAACATATTTGGGATGAGCTTAAGAAACGTTGACGGAGACCAGTGCCGGTTCCCAGCAATTCTAGAGAGCTACGCGACATAGTGGTACAAGAATGGAAAATCTGCCGCAGAATGTAATCCAGAATCTGATCTGAAGCATGCTTCATCGTTTGCAAGCTGTTATCACTGAAAGAGAAGGGGAAACTCATTACTGAAGCCCATATGTTTTTTCTTTGTAACCAAATGCATATTCCTAGCATAGTGAAGTAAATTTTCAGTATTAACAAACAAATTTGGGCGACAAAAAATATTTTTTTTTCAGGGCTCGATAAAGTATGTTTGAAATAATTTCATATTACGGAGTAACTCTAATTTTATACCTGGCAGTGTATACAGTGCATTTCTTTAATGCCCCCCCTTTTATTTTTCGAACGGGTCAACTCAAAAAATTGAAATTTGGGACAGTGAAATTAATGCATGAATACTTTATTTTGAAGTGAAATTGACAGATGAAACTTTCAAGATGGCGACTGGCCGCCATCTGGGAAAAACAAATTAAATGGAAAGGGGGGTCTTGTGATACGCCATTTTGAAGCTCCTGACGAATACTTCACAACACTAGAATATAAAGTCAATACCTTCACCTACTACAAAATGGCGGAACATTCAATAATTTCCTGAAGACAAACACATTAATATCGATATTTCTAGAAATATTCCTTTTTATCTGCCGTATGGCAATTCCAACAACCCGATAAGGTTTGTTAAGTTATTTTTTTGATTATGAAAACGTCAGAAAATGTCAGTACGACAATGAATTGTTCAGTTAGAATATTCTCATTTAGTTTTCGGTTTCACTAGTAGAAAGGTACCACGTCAACAATCTCTAAAATGGTCAATTCTCGTCCATTGGAGTGAAAAATTGAAGCGATTTTTATTTACGGTGCGACGCGTAACTTTCACGAGACCGAAAGGATTTTCAATGAACGTCAATTCAATGTCAAGAAGTTCAAGGCAACCATTTCGAGGATCTTTCGAACTGACCTCAAGCTTATTATGTAGTTAAATGTCAATGTAGTCAGGCAATTGATTGTCAATGAAATTAAAACGCCATTAACTCACCTAATCAACAAATGTTTACAGGAACGCTGCTTTCCCAAAATATTCAAAATTGGAATAAAATAAACGCTTTTTTAAAGTGGAGACAAAACAATAGTGAGTAACTATAGACCTGTATCACTGATCTCAAACATAGCCAAATTAATAGAGAAAATTCTAAAAATAAGATTAATGCCTATTTCTAGACAGTGATGTATATTCTCTCCCAGAAAAATTAATATCATTGTTCGGAGACATTTAATTTAGGAAACAAAGACTTTTCTTTTACTTACACCCCTGCATCAATCATCCAAATTGCCAACCCACTTAATTTCCCCCCTAAGAAAATAACAACGAATTTGTTAATCAATTAGTGGCAGTTCGCGTGTCCCTACCCAATGAAATAATCTTCAATGATCGATATCATATAAGATCGCTAATTGAAAATGATGATTGAACAACAAAATGAGTGGCTTCCCACGAAATCGACTGCCTGTATCTAAAAGACCCCTCGGAAAGCATTCACTGATACTCCGGAAGAGTAAACATTGTTCAATCATCGAAGCAGATAAAGCGGGATTTGGTGATCAATATGTATGGGATGTTGTTGGAGAGCGTTCAACATTTTGTGAAGGTGAGTTACATTGATTATATATCGAAAGGTTGAATATTCAGACTCAGAATATACCTTATTGTCGAAAAAATCTCTTATTGAGAAAGTCAGTTGCAGCACATACGAGGGTGGTTTGAAAAGTTCGACCTCAACATGAAGAGGGCAGCAAATGAAAGCTAGTGAACTCCGTTGTTCGTCTGTTGACAGTTCCTCGCCATTTTGGACGTGCAGTTGTTATGTAGTAACTGTCGTTTTAGTGAGTTGATGTGAATTTTTTTATGGAAATGGACAAAATCGAGTATGAAGCTGTCATTAAATATTTGTTGCCTAATGAACATTTCCAACGCTGTGTTAGCGCAGTTTAGGCGCAATAATCCAGGTTTTGGCACCGATTGATTACTGTAGGTGAAACTTGGATACACCATTTTACGCATGAAACAAAAATACAGTCCAAAAAGTTGACTAAAAATGGGGAACCGGCTCCAAAAAAAGCAAGAACGGTTTTTTGGACCTTCCAAAGGATTCTTTCGAGTTGCCTCCGGAAAAACGATCTGATGGAGCAAATCTGGTAGCATTTTTGGATTCAGCAGACCCAAATTACCTAGAAACAGTAAACAAATTCCGGCAGCAAACTGTGTTTTTACCAGTGATATCTTCAAAAAGGAAAAACCATCACAGCAGCATACTCCATATCATTGCTTGACAAGCTGAAGGAAGAGTTGCTACATTTGCAGAAAAAAGCCTGTTTCACAAAGATAACGCCCCGTCCCATACCTCAGCGTTTTCCATGGTAAAAATCCTCAAATTGAGGTTTGAACTACTTGACAATCCACCTTACTAACCAGATCTAGTCCCAAGTGACTTCTTTCTGTTCCCCCATCCAAAATTGGGCTCGAAAGTACTATTTGGAGGGGATTCAGAGATTGGAGCATCGCTGGGAAAAGTGTGTGGAGTTCAAAGGACGCTATGTTGAAAAAAATCTGAAAAATGTCTTGTATCTTTGTTAGGTCAGGAACTTTTCATACCACCCTCATAGAAAAATGTTGGGATATGATTGAAAAATCACATACAGATGTGCAAACACAGATAAATACAGACTCCGATCTAATTCAAGTTAATAATAAAGAAACTTGTCTCTATTTTATGGATACGTTCACGACTGATTCAGGCTGCTTGTTTATTGTGTTTTCCGTCGGCTTTTGCCTGAAGAAAATTAAATTTCCACATCATTTGCTAACTAGGGTCTAATGTTTTGTTTTACCGTTTCAATGTGTGGTACGTATCTTCATATGACGTTCAAAATTGCTTCGAAAAGTATCTCATTGTAGCCAAAGGATACTTTCTCCAAAGGAAATCTGAGAAACACAGATAGAAACATCCTCTTTAGCAAAATTATGAAGGGAAAGTCGACATACGGTATACCCATCTTACACCGTGTGACCATAAATATGTTAACAATTTTTGTTTGTTTGCTGGAGATGGAATACGGGGAAGAATTCTGGAAGGAAATCAAAACAATAGCCAAATGCGACTACGACAAATTCAAAACCCACCAGGTTTATCCTGACTTCATCCTTGGATCATTAGCAGCGGCTTGTGCCACACTCACCAATGCGTCTTACGACAACTTCATGAATTTTTTCGGAAGGTGTTTCGTCAGGTTTTTCACGAATTTGGGGTGAGTGATATCACTTGACGTATTTAATGTTGATGTTATTGATGTTAGCAATTCTGAACTTATACAACGACCCTCACTTTCATGTGCTCTGTTAGTCGGATACATTTACCGTTTGTATTGTAATACTTCATTCTGTTCCATATAGATGGCAGCACAAAATGTAATGATTGGAAACTCATTCAAAAAACATTCAAAGCGCTTTTTATCTTCTAATATATATACAAATTATTCAATTATTCAGATACGATGTTACTGTGAAGGCGACTGGCAGATATTTCACGGATTTTCTGGAAAGCGTCGACAATATTCATTCCCAATTTCGATTCACTTACCCCAAAATGCAAAGCCCCTCAATGTATTTGACCGACATCGACTCACACGGTTGCGTCCTTGTATACAGGAGTGGTAGACAAGGATTCACACAGTACATCATGGGTAAGTATATGAATAAACATACAAATAATGATAACCAGTAGTTTTCCATCAAAAGATAAAACCTCGTTGGTCTTTGTCTCGCACAAGATTCAACTTCTGAGGGTTATCCTTAGTAGAGGAGCGACAACTGAAAGGGAAAACAGTTTTTTGCCGGCTGAGGATCAAGGAGATTTTACATATAAACTGGAATATGGCAAAGTACTAGTCACCCGTTGCCCTCTTCTTAAATTTTCATAGAACAGCCTTGAGATAATACTGAACCGAAAAAATTCACGAAAAACTTAGGGTGGTAGCATTGCTCGAGCAAGACAGCTGCGCCCCCAAGCGGAGCTTCTGATCACTATGAACAGGAGGAGTCTGGCCAAATGCGCTCGACTGAGAAGTAACAGCAACATAAATTAAAGAAGAAGAAGCTAACTTCGTAAAAATGTATTCTCATCATTTTCCCCAACGCGCCAAAAGAAGTATAACTTCAAAATATAACGGCAAACTAGATTTTTTTGCTGTACCTACTGTACCTAAGGCAATTCTAGTTTCTGCGCGGTCTTGCTGCGTATTATAAGGGTTAAACCAAAAGAAGTATCATGCAACCCCTACCGAAAACTGAATGGGCCTTATCTTAAAAGAAAACTACGGGATACCTTTATCATATCTCATCAAAACCTTTGAAAAACCAACAAGATAGATTATGAATCTGACCTTGAAACTTGATCTTTAGTTCCAACAAATATTGCCCCACAGATAGTTAAAGATCAGAGAGAAATGTTTCCTGGTAGAACGAAAATCTGGCACTAATGAGACCAGAACCAAAAATCTTTACTGAATATAACGAAGCTCGGAGGAAATCTAGAAGAAAGGGAAGAGGCAATGCGGGGTGGGGTGTCCAAAGTATATGCTAGGCTAGAAAACCTCAGGCCTCAACAAATAGTCTGAAAATTAATTAAGGGGAGTGATTGAAAGCATGAAAGGGAACTAGAAAGGGAACTTTTTTCATACGTCTCTTAGACGAAAATCTTTTACCTAACAACGAGGTCTCGACAAATTAAAAAATGGGGGCCCCAAAAGGGTATTCAGTGAGAATTGACTCGTGAAAAAAGGGTGAGAAAGTTGGAAGAAGAATGAATTGGTCGTGAAATCACTGTAAGCAGAAGTCATTTATCCAGTGATGCTGCAAAAAGAACCGGAACTTTGGAGAAAGGTTGAGATGCACAAATATGGAGACTGATTAAGGCTTCCTTTATTTCGAAATATGGAAAACTTGGACAGGATTTAGCAAAAGCTTTGAGACCTGAGAGTATCTTGTTGTTTACACTAAATACACTGGTACAGAAAACAATAAAAAAAATAAGAAGGAAAAAGCATATAACTAGGTAATATTAATTAATACATCATTTTCAGGTCAGCTGCAACAAATTGCCAAAGATTTTTATGATTTGAAACTGAAAGTCAAAGTTTTGGAAAAAGCTTCTTCCGCTAGTGGACCAAAAAATCATGTCATTGTTACTTTCAGACTGGATTTTGACAACAGAGCTTACGTAAGTGTATTAGCAGGCTCAAAACTGTATCGAAAGAATAAAAAATAATCGTTAATTCCCAGTGCAGTAATGCATTTCTTTGGAGAAGTGCCTCCTTTGCAAATCTTTCAGTTAATAAAATTTGCAGATGCTGCACAAAAGTCAGAAAGAATCTTTCAGACAGGTTGACCCACTAACAACATTCTCACGGGATCTCCTATTGGAACTTTTTCCGTTCGGTTTGGTTGTAGACACTAGTATGGTTGTCGTAGGCCATGGACAGCGATTTTTCGAAATATGGCGAGGGGAAGAAGCTCTGTTGGGCAAACCAGTCACGAATAATTTCAGAATAAGGAGACCTAAGGGCGTGTCATTCACCTGGAAAAATGTATGTAGTTATTCTCTTTATTCCAAGACGATCACGATGATTGAATCTGCATGCTCGCCTTCCAAATCTGACATCCATTGATTTTTCTGATATTTTACAATTTTTAGACACTGAATCTACAACCCGTAATGTTCGAGCTGGAATGCAACAGAGGAATCACAAATTATAACGATAGTGAGGAATCTGAAGAAATAAAAGAGGATAGTGGATCCATTTCACCGGTGCCCGGAACCAAGAACATTCTCCTCAAGGGACAGATGAAATACATACGTGATATCAATTCCATTATTTATTTATGTAGTCCTATGTGAGTCACTTCTTGATACTGTTTCTATATATGAATGTATTTCAAGAAAAATTCAAACTTGCTCATTCGAAATGTATTAATTTTGTAGAATAAATGATCTTGGCGATCTTAAGGATCAAGCACTTTACTTGAATGATCTAAATCCGCACGGCCTGAGTAAAGAGTTGGTTTTAGCCGAATGGCAGCATAACTCCAAGTAAGTAAACTGAAAGGTTTCGTTTGACAATCTCACAAACCTCAGTTTTTTATATTTTGAATATTATGCATGAAATTTCAAAAATCCAAACCTTCTTTATCTCAATTACATAGACAACAACTCCGCAACAAATAATGAATTCAGCTTCAACAGATACTTCACATTTTTTAGACTTGAAGTCATGTTTGACGAAGCCGAACAGAGATCTAACGAGTTGGACACGAATTATACACTCCTTGAAACTTGGAAACGTAGAGGAGATGAATTGTTGTATTCTATGATCCCCAAAACAGTCGCAGATAGACTGAGAACAACTAAATCATCTCTCAGTACTTGTGAGGTGAGTAAAGATAATATAATAACTGATTGAACTAATGATATCCATGACAATAAAAATACAGTTTTCACTCTACATTATTTTAAGTAGGTATACCCACTGTTCAGGCAGACAGGTCGCCCAGCCAATCAGGATTCGCCCATTTTGTCACGTGGTTGTCGTGTGGTCTCGTGACTGGCGGAAATTCAAATTGATAAATATTTCAGGCAGACAGTGAAACAGTGAGTCAGACAGTCACGTGGTGCCATCAAATTCGGTCGGCCAAGCCACGGAACATGAGCGGTATGAAAATATGAGTATGAGATTGAAGCTTTTATAAAGTAAGGGGGAATTAACTGTTTTGGGTGTGATGAAACCTGCTAACTCAAGGAACAAATCATAACTGAATTTCATCAGTTAGACTGGTGGAGCTACTGTGTAACAAAACGTATCTGGAATAAAATTCATAGTATCAAAATTGTATGATTATCGTCATGGATAGTCGGAAGATAGTGAAGTTTGCTGTGATTTTCAGGCCTTCGAAGAAGTCACCATATTATTCTGCGAGTTAGTTGGTCTGACCTCCCAGACTGTTAAAGAAACGATGGTAGTTGTTTCAACAATGAATACAGTCTTCTCTTGTTTCGATTCCTTACTGGACAAACTTCAGGTCTACAAGGTAAAAAACATAGAATATACTACGACTAAACATAGAATTTATTAATGGAGTATTTAGGAGTTATGACCCAGTAACCAAAGTAGTTCAATACTCTACGTCATTCACTTAAATGAAGTGGGAAAGAAGGACCGACTGAATTTTCATTTGAAAAATATGTGATTTTTGTTCAAGGTGGAAACTGTGGGACAAATATACATGGCAGCTAGCGGTGCTCCAGAAAGAACTCGATTTCATGCTCAAAATATAGCAGAATTGGCATTAGAAATGCTGAAAGCCATCAAGAATATGACATGTGCTGGAAAAACAGAAGTTCAACTGAGAATAGGTATTGTAATAGTGAGTTTTTGATGACTATAACCTGATTCATATGCGTTGAATCCTTATCCACTCGTAGTTCCTCAGTTCTACATATTTCTCTTCAAAAGACCACGGTAATCCTTCGCTCATACTTACTTCATTAATTTTATCAAGTGGTTTTATACACATTCAACTTCAATGATCTTTGAAGAGTATTTTCCAACGATAATATTTTCCAGGAATCCATTCCGGGCCTGCTGTGGCCGGTGTCGTTGGTATAAAAGTACCTAGGTACTGTTTCTTTGGAGATACTGTGAATACTGCGTCACGAATGCAGTCGACTAGTGAGGTAAGAATTTATCGAAACTCAGGCGCATAAGACAGTCTTAGAAACCCATATTACGGTTCTATAGTATCACCTACAGCTTACTAATATAAAAAGACATCGATAAAAACCGTAATTGGAACACTGTTCCGAACCAGAAAACTTTTGATGCTTTATGAAGCTCAGATCAGACCTTTTTTGGAGTATTGTTATCATGTATGGAGCTCCTTCCCTATACCACGACACGGTGGAATATAAATTTATTAAGATGTGGAGCTAGAAACACACATGACATTAAAACACCACCTCTCTCTCTAACACTTCGACAGTACTGAATTACAAATCTGTTAGTTCTTTGCAGATACTACCCATGCCGATGATTTTCTGTATTTCAGTTACTCAAGCGGGGTTTCTGAAAATGTTTGCAGATGTCGCCACTTTCCTGCCATTTGTGCATCTCTGTGGATTAGTGTAATCAAATATGCTAGTGTCGAAGCTATTTGCCGTGTGGTCTGCAGGTTTCGTCTACAAAGGCGGTAGACAATTTAATAACTAGAGCACTTCGCCCGTTGCATCATCACCTTTGTTAAGGAAGACCGTGGTCAACAAAACTGGAAAATAGCTTTGCCACCGTTACCTCTTGTCATGAAATACCAATTACCATTTTTTATTTTCAGCCTGGCAAAATAAATATTACAAGTTATACAAAAACGCTACTACCCAAGGAAAAATACAAAACTCAAAGTAGAGGCAGTGTCTACGTCAAGGTAGGTAGATTCCAGTTTGTATAGAGAATAAGAAAAAATGGCATTCTACACATACAAACCATGGAGTACTCTTTTCTATTTAAAATTTTTATCGAGTAACATTCCTTATATTTCAAACGAGTATTCTGTTATTTATTACGTATATTACCAAAAAGTAAAGCGTGTTTGTGTTTTGATTTTTCCAGGGAAAGGGAGAAATGCAAACATTCTGGTTATTGGAAAATGACCCATCAGAAACTGTTGATTTTTGAAACCTTAAAAACTTGCCAAGGAATCGAAACTAGTGCAGGTACTAAACAGATGTAGTGATCAACATGTAGATCCAGATAAATAAATACATTTATTAAATAAAAACGATTACTCTAACATTATAATCATCAACAATAGCAGGCATCTCTAGTGTTACTTCTTATCCAAGAAATATACCTGTTCACCCTCGTATAGACGCCTGGAAAATTCGGTGCTGCACATCCTTCTCCCCATGAAACGATTCCTGAAAAATGAGAAAAATCCAATTGATTTCTACATTATCACAATCTTGAGTGATAAATAGGCCTAAAGTCAAGTCCTCTTCTCAGTCAGTATTATGCTTGTTGGAGACGGAAGAGTTCTGATGTTGCATTCATAACCCCGCCTAGTACCACTATTGAATGATAAATGCAACGCTTTTGTGTTCTGAGGTACGGGAAAAGGTGAGAGTTATCGTTAATAAGATACATCACTCAATCCCTAGCTGAGGGAAAAATCTCAAATGTCAACAATTTTTCTACATAAATGAAACTTTTATAGACTAAGAAATGTGTGAAACTCACACTTTGCATAGAACCTTCTGTTCGGCCTACTCAAAAATATAAAGAATGGTATAAGTATGTATATTTTGTAGAACATCTCGAATGGAAAATAAAATGCACAATTTTGTCTCTTTTCAATTGAGCAAAGCTCCAAAAAAATAGCATTTCGTTCTGAAAGAACCAGTAGTTATCTTACAGCCATACTAGATACATGCCATCGAGTTTTTCACCCCTAGTTGTAGGGGTGGTGTCCGTACGTGCAGAAGTGTCAAATAGGCTTTCAATTTTTCCTGAGAACAATGGATTGACGTCACTTATTGATCATCCCTGTTAGTTCTTGTAGATCAATGACCAAAAGGTCGAAGAAACGACAAAAGTGCTTCAATATACGCACCCCCTGGTGAGAACGATGAATTGACGTATCTTTTTGGGCGACTCTATTAGTTCTTTTAGATTGTCGATGAACAGAAGGTCGAAGAAGTGACAAAAAGACCTTAATATACGTAACACCCGTTTTTGTAAAATGACCAGAGACCAGGGGTCGTTACCAAAAAGGCATTAATTGAGCAACCCTTCCGATGAGGTGGAGGCCAGCCTTGTTTTGTTTTGTCAAAAGAAATATATACTTGAAAGAGATTGAGGCTAGAAGTCTGGTATACATCGATGGAAAATACATCGATTGGAAGATTTCCAAACAGATGACAATGATTTTGGACTTACCCACAACCTGGTGACTTGTCCCATTTACAATGTGTAGAGGCCCACCGCTGTCACCCTGAAAACAAGTATATCAAGTTGTTTTGAGTTGGAAAACTTTCAATAGCACAGTTTGAAAGAATGTTTTTCCAAAAAACCTTTATCTGTTTTGGAAAACAATTTTGATCAGGCTCAGCGAACCAAATTAGGTAGTATAAATATTACTGGAGTTTTTTCCAGATAACCAAACCGTTATTTTAACACCTCGACACGTGTTTCGATCACCAAGTGATCATCTTCAAGAGGAAGATCCCTATCCTTCTCAATAGTTTTAAACGATTTATTTTCTGCATACTCACCTGGCAAGAGTCTTTTTCGCCTTTGAGAAAACCTGCACACATCATATTGTCCGTTATCCTGTTTTTGTAACCTGTTTTTCTACAATCGATATTGGACATGATGGGAACTTTTACCTCTCGAAGTTTACTTGATGTCTGGCCGTGTTCTTTGGTGGCTCCCCATCCCGTTACAATTCCTAAAAATTTCATGAATGATGTATGATGTATGAACTTCATAAATGGAAGTGCATTGAAGAACACAAACAACTTGAATGATATATTTAAACAAAACTGATATGCAAAAAGATAGAAAAATTTTTTTCGCATCAAACTAGATATCAATTCATCATGTGGGTGTTGAAAAATGTATAATACATGTATAATAGAAGTTTTATTGATAAAATCCTGTTCTGAAAGATAACAGTTATAGAGATTCGTTCGTAAAGTCAATAATGAATGGAATAGAAAATAAACAGTCAATCAAAAATCAAAAAGAACTACAAAAATCTTTCATAAGTATTATTTTTTTCCTGTGCGCTTCATTTTCAAGTGGAAACCTCACATTGAAGTTTCTTTTTTACCTACGTGACAATCAAAAGATAAAATGGGAGCTATAGCATATGTTTTCAGATCTATAGCCACTGTATTTTTTCATGTGAGATCAATTCAACAATATCGCAATAATTAATTAAATGGCTCTATTATTTACCGAATAATGTTCGTTTTCCGTTCCGCCTTATAAGTTGACAATAGATTGAACTGACGGAAATGATTGACCTGATTTAGATATTTATCAGGCGAAACCTTCGTGGTTATTAAACTTATTAAAAACAGAATGCAGCAATAATTCAACTCTTTATATGAAACACGCACATTCTCATTTCTCACCTTCATACCCCGTAAAACTCTTTCCCGTTGGGGGCAAACATACAGGCTTCAGCATTCCAGTCAAATTCAGTTCTTGGTCCAGCTGAAGTAGAGCGATATCATTATTATAATTACCCCCGGATCCATACCCTCGGTGCCTGAGGATATTTTTAATCTTCCTCGAAATGGTTTTGGTCTCAGTGGAGCTAGATCTGTCATGATCCAAGAAAACAGCAGTGATTCTATCTTTATTGAAACTAAAATAGAAAGAGAACTTATTGGGGATGGTACTCAAATCAGTCTATGATTCCCAGGCAAAATTATTCAATGAAATTGAAGATTTGTAAGCTATCTATACACATATTGTTGAATAGTTTCCATATAAAATTTAAACAAATCTACAACCCAGTCCATTGTTGAAAAGATAAAGAAGTAGTACTGATCAAACTCTATTATTTGTTTCCCAAAGGGTAAGTTGGATATGCTGACGGCAAATGCATTAGGGTCTTAGGCCATAGGCCTTACGCCCGCACTACGGGCGTGAAAGTCCTGTTGGCCGCCCTATAATCCATCACAAATTGGATACGAGACGCATGTTGTCTCGCCGACGTGATCTTAGCTTCCATCTTGTGTACACGCCGTCAAATCTTCCGAATCGCATGGTCGAGATTTCGTCCTTCCGATTCAGCGTTGTGGATTTGCCAGATGTCAGCCTCTTCTGTTAGAACACTATGAACCTCCGTATCCCAACAAGCCAGTTCAGGGTTCAGTTCTGTGGAGCACCCTGCGTGATCTGATTGACTCCATTGGTGGTATGACGCGAGTCTCCTCTTCAGACGTGCCAACGGGTGGTAGAACTGTCACTTCTACAACTTCGTTAGTAGGCTGGGAAGGAGCGATATAGCCCTGCCGCCGAAGATAGGATACGCCGCCGAGGATGAGCGGCATGCTCATGATGTGTTCCACACCACAGAGCATGTAATCTCACCATGTACCCTCTTCGCGCGGGCTCACTACTCTCGTAGCAATGCACAAGGCTATCTCTTAGCTCATGTGTCCACTCAAAAAGTCCGTTGTCATTGCCAGGGTTGTCAGCCATAGACAAATCATCGTTATGGGTCCACCACCTTGCCTCTGACCCGTCCGAGCTAGTCGATTGTGGGGGGTCCCTTAATCGATTACCAGGAACCAAGTGTTTGGTCTACCGGGTGGTTAGCCCTGTGGAGAATCGTATTCTCCTTCCCAGGTGCGCCTGGGCTGCCGGTTCGGTTTTGCACCAGTTGCTGGGGTCAATGGAGGCGCAACTCACCAAAGGCTAAAGGTGTTAGGCCATCCCTGCTTATTTATTATTACAATAATCATTATTATTCATGTTAAAAAACAGATTTTAAACACATTCATGATATAACATTGGATATACTTACCCGTTCACGCAATGCGCAGCAGTTAAGACATATTTATTATTGATTAGGGAACCTCCACAATAAAATGATTTACCATACATTAGAGCCGTCATCCAAACATACTCGTTGATCATTGTTTCTACTCCTCCAACAATCCTTACTCGTTGAAATGTTTGTCCGCATCCTGAAATGAAGAAGGAATTTCAATGCATGTCAAATACCCAATATTTCTGGTCACTTAGCGAGATCTGTTACCAAGCAAATAGATTCCGACATCAGTCAGTGATGATCAACGATCTGACATCAAACTTTCAGAGAAAACTCATGGAGTTCCCCTGGGTAGTGTGTTGGACCCACTTCGCTTCATAATTCGGCTACGATATTTTCCATTTTATGACCCGACAAATGGATTCGCTTTGACCTGGTTTAACGCGTCCTATCTGGCAGTAATATTCATTTGTATTTACCCACTTCGTCTGTCGGGTCAATAGTACAGTTTTTAAGTACCAACGATGTTGGGTATATCGTCACAGAAAAAACTCTGTTATTGTTCATGATGTGTTATCTATATTCGATCAATACTAGCTTCCATCTTATAAAATTGCTGAATGGTTAACCAGTTTAGAACTCTCTCAATCTCACAACTGGATATATGGATGTGACATCGAGAAAAATGAAAATTCACCTAATTTTTTGAACAGACAGCGTCTACTATACCAAAATTGTTAAATATTTGAAGGATCTTTTGAGGGTCAACGGTCTTAGTGGAGAAGTGATCGAAGACTGCATCAAACTAACAAAAATTTGTATGTAACAGAATTACTTCTAGTTCTGCAACCGTTTCTATGGGCAGCACGAAGGCAAGGCAATGTAAAACCCACTGTCCTCCTCCATAGTTGATCTGTTCATGAAGAGATCTGAACTGGAAGCAAAAGAGAAGTTAGACTACGGTCCATGAACTTTAGTCCGATATAGAGACGATATATTTGCGAATTGTGACACTAAAAATCTAAGGTACAGGACTTTGTTTCAAGCCTCAACAACAGATTGTCAGAATACCTCACTACTTTTAGATATATTCCTGATAGCTCACACCATTGTTCACAACACAAAATGGCGGGTCTAAACTTTCTTGCCAATAGGCTAGTTGTGTTCTTCTTGAGTAAAGAAAGATATATCGAAAACATTTCAACAAGGACATAGCTGAAAGCTATGTCTTACAAACCAAATGAATTTTAGAACTCACTGCAAGATTGGCATTCCTTCTGTGGAGCAGGGGTACCAGTATCATTATTATTGATTCCAACCACTCCTAAAAACCAATCGATTACATTTGCTTTCTCCGAATAAGCATGTTGTTGACTATTACTCGAATTGTTCTTCTTTATCACCAGAGGCTTGGACTCCACTGTATTTTCTGCGACCAAGTTGTTCGCCGCGTTATCAGAGAACTTCAAAGGGATTATGGAGCTTCCGTAGAGGTCCAGCGGTTTGTTTGGGGGAATGTAGGGTCTTCTGGTCGAAGACGGCCTTGTTAACTGTTGTGTCCAATGCGGTGGCACGCCTGGCTTGTGTGCGACTGATGATGACGTCGGTTTTATGAGGTTGGTGCTCGAAACTATGTTTGGGTTTTGGTACACTATAATTTTCTGCCCGTAAGAGTTCTGAAATAAAGAAACATGCATTCATATGAAGGAAACATCAAATTGATTGTTAGATAAAACCACATTTTGCCAAAAGGATAGATGGAAACAATGGTGCTATTATATGGCCATCACGTTCACCTGATCTGACTCTTCTGAACTTTTCATTCCGGGGCTTCATTAAAGACAAGGTGTTCGGCTCAACTTCTGGCAATATTGACGAATTAACTATATTAACGATATTCACGAATTGACGATATAACTACATAAATTCTGGAAAATATTATTGCAAAAGCGAATAAGTATTTGTGGAACGATGGACAGCAATTTGAAAATTTGATGAGCTATCGTGAACGAAATTATTAACTCGGAAGTTATAGCGAAATTAAAACTATCGCGCGAGGAAACGAATTAAAGCGGCCTCACAAAACAACGCAGCATGCCTCATGAAGAAAGCTTGCGATTGCGTTGGTTTTGTTCCACGTAATGAATCCCTTTGAAGGTTGAGCCCACATTTTTTGTTGTCTTCAAGTGGAGACCTACTTTCCTATTTTGAAATTGATAGTTGTGGACATACTTTTCTGTGAGAGAATTCCATCAGTGGTGATTATTATTGGTTACAGGCTGATTGAAACTATGGTAGAAAAAAAGTAGGCGTATTTGTGCCTGTGATAAGCCAATCATAAGTAAATAAGTAAATGGGTGCCCAACAGTACCCTATCAGTTATTCCATGAACTACACACAAAGATTTGATTTTCACAAACATTGTTTTCGAAAATATCTTGATATGTTTCACTATCACAGTAGCTTCAAATTGTGGACTTGTCCAAAGGTGTATATTGGTCAAACTGGCAGAACATTTAGGAATCGCATTCAGGAATATCATATAAGAAATCAAGTTCAACTATTCAAATCATCTTCCAGTAGAAAATCATATATCTTCAACAGAGATTTCGAAATTTTACACATGCAAAGTTTGAAGCTGAATCATTTGGAAGCAATGGAAATTGATGAGCCTAAAAATTCAATCTTTCTACTGAATGACTAAATGTTGTCGTATTGCACATATAATTATAAATTAAAAATTAAAAATAAAAGAGGTCTAAGATTAGAACCTTGTGGTGCCCCAGATGTAACTACGTACTGAGCTAATTTGAAAAATGCATATTCGACGAATTGTTTTCTGTTAACTAGATATGATTCAATTAGAGTAAGCAGTTGGTTAGAGAGTCCCAATTTTGTCAATTTGCTGAGGAGAACATCATGGTCTATTTGATCGAAGGCTTTTTGAAAGTCTAAATAAACAACATCGACTTGTTTTTGCTTGTCCAGGTACTTACAGAGATTGTGATTCAAACATGCTAGATTTGTCATACATGATCTTTGTTGTACTAAACCCTGCTGAGTAGGAGAAATAACTTTTTGAATATGCGGGAGTACACACATTTTGAAGAGTTTAGAAAAGTTGCACTGTAGTTTGTGATATCGCTAGAGTCGTCTTTTTTTAATATCGGACAAATTCGAGCCGTTCACTGCTTAGGGAACGCACAAGTTGATAAAATTAAATTGAATATGCTTAAAAAAACGAAAAAACTACCGAAACATGTGATATTTTTCAAAATAAAGTTTGTGAAGATCAAGTCGTAAGATGGAGTTTATGTAATTACTATGGATCTTCATCAAGTAACAGCAGAATCAATCAGAAAAAATGAATAAACCCTATTAGTTATCACCCTGTATCACATTTACAAAAAAAAAATTAAACAACATACCTGTTGTCTGAAATTTTCGTCTCCAATCACAAAACCGACCACAACAACCAGGATTGCACACAAAACTGAATATTTGCACATATCTGCCCGGGGGTATGATGCGAAAACAGCAAATGATATATTGAGACAAAGTGTAGCGACTCGACTGTCCTGTGTTGATGGTTTGCGTTGGAGATAGTGAAACGCCGCATGCAAAAGAATAACAATGTAATGTAGGTTTTGAGGTGGACAAGTAACATGGACGGGCTGCTTTAATTTACGGTATAGGCTCGTAACTATTGTATCTGCAGCTGTAGGAGTGTTGGTAGAAGCAGTGAGAAAATAATATGATCTAGTAATTTATTTTTCTTCAATTGTCGACCTTTCGTTTGTGAAAAGATTTGAATTTTGTCCTCTGTCTCGGTACATTAGAAATATCTTTGTAAAACATATCCTCCTTTAATATATGGTTGTGAATGAGGTTCAATAGATACGTATTTGAGACCGCAGAAAAGTAAGACTCGTGAAGAACAAACAATAATATAATTTATTTTTAAAATGCTATAGAAGACGTACAAAATTCCCAAACACTTTGTTCATAAGGACAAGTTCGAACATTGCAAAAACCTCAGTCCTCTGAGCCTTGAAACTCGTTTAGAAGGAATGGAGTTTTGAAATAGCAACAATGCGTTTTTTATGAAAAATACAAACGGTGAATCGATTTCAAATAGAAACCGTTTCGATTCAAAGATAAACTATTTGGGAACAATTTGTAGTTTCCACCGTTCTGCAAGTATCGGCCTCTTTTTGTCAAAATATTATAAATTGTGGTGAATTTTAAAAATAGTGAATGTTGAAATCAAGTTGCAGAGCTTATAAAAAGAAGCAGGATTTCCCTGCAGGAATTTCCTGCTTGACAAAGCACCATGTGAGAACCAAAATATATCTTGTTGGTGAGTTATAAATCGATTTTTATCGAGTATTGGAGAATCTGCTGGTAATGAAAAAAAATGTGAACATAATTATGATATCGTGACAAAGTAAAAATTATATATTCAAACAACACTATATTGTCAGATCCTCACATCAAATACTTCAAGAAATCATAATATGGAAACATGGGGAAGTCCCGTGGTCTCTGACCGGGGATTCCCCGCGATACCAACTCAACGGCAAGTACTATTGCTAGACTAAATAGAAACGACCTTCTGAACGTTTCATTTCGAAAACTAGGAATCATCAGAAAAATGTTATTCAAGTCATGAAATGATCTTGAATCTCTTTGGCAATCGTATTGGAAATACCCTGTGAATAATTTGTTTCGGGCGCGAATGGAATAATTTGTAAAGTGGGGCATGATAATTCAGAGAAAAAAAATTAAAAACTTATAACATGAAGGACGGTGAAAGTGCGGCAAAAAGCGAATCCCACGTCGAGCATTTCTCAAAAATGAATTCAGATCATTTCTTTCGAAGAATGCTGCAAAATTCCTAGTTTCCCTTCTAAGAACTCTTTCAATTGAATGATAATGCTGCAGACACATGTGTAGGAAGTATGAATATATCTGGTTTTAAGCAAATAGCAGTAAATAGAAAGTAATTTACCGCTATACACACACGTTGTCTGTCTCATTAGTATTCGTTGACGAATTTAGTGAAATGATTAGCGAAATGCCATGACAATGAAAACAAAATTGATTCACATCGTTAGAAGAAAGTGAAGTGTGATAGTTGGATTGAATAAATTATCTTATGAAACAGATGGTATAACAGTAAAATTTTGCTTAGGAGCTGTACTGTAAATCTTTTTAAGAAATATGGTACTTTTTTAAAAGAGTTTCAATGTATATTTGAAAAAAATGGTGTAATACAGCAAATCAATTGAATTGATTCAATTAAAAATGTATTTCATTTTATTCAACACATAAGTTATTTTATTCCATTTTTGCTAGTTATTCATGTTTTAGTCATATTCTCTAGTCTGTGAATGAGAAAAGGGTAAGTTGATATACTGCACAGAATGAAATAAATATAATTTTCATATTATTTTAAGAAATCCCTTAACTTAGGCAAGCCACTATAATGTATTTATAGTAAAGACGTCACATTATTTTCCGTACTCTTTTCAATCAACACCTTTCATTGGTCGAACCATAGTATAAAGATAAAAGGATTTATACTATGGTTGAACTACAAAACAAATATTTACCCAGGAACAAAATCTTCACTTTCTACACTCTTAGAAAGGAGATTGAACGACAGAACTAATTTGCAAAAACATATTGATGATACAAAGAGAAAGCATTTGGGTTTCTTTCTCAATTTTTTTCCCAAATTCGTTCTTATCTGAACTGTAAGCTCTTCCTCTCCTAAAATGATAATCCCACAGAACATGCCAAAGTGGAGAGAAAAGAAAAGCCTGGCTGAATAGCCTAGATAACTCACATCATTTCCAAAAAGAAGAGTAGAATACGAATAGATCGCAGTGCCCATACACGTAACCGTAGTGCATCACCTCACATTAGTGTTTACACGCTAGTGCAGTCGGGCATTGATCGTTAATTGAGTTCAAGTTGCAGTTGAACTTTGTTTTAGCACAAACCCAGGTGGGTTTGGCTCCGACTCAGATACACTTCAGTGTGAGCTCCACCTGTGGTGGCAACATGATTCTGAAACTCCTGGCTGGGTAGCCCTGGCATCTGAAGGCATTAATGGAAAAAGAAGAAGAGGAAGAAGGATCAAAACATGACATAACCTTTTTTAGATAAAAGCTGATAAAAGTTAAATTTGAAAACTTGAAACCTAAGTTGCAGTTTCTAATTTTTCATAAACAGTATGCTCAGGCTCACAAAAGTTCTTCGCCCTGCATGTTCAAACATAAAACATTCGAAGAAAATATCTTCAAGTTCCAATGTGCAAACCAAGAGTTATTCACCTTGTAATGCCCACAGTCATAAAACTATTTCGAATGGGAATTTCTGTGCTGCAAGACAGAGGGTACCTCCTTACCACCACTTAGGCTTTTGTACAGATGCTAATCTAGAACATTCATTCGAAAAAGCTTGCGACGAAACGTTAGAATCTTTGACAGAGTTTTTCGAAGAACTTGTTGAATCAAGAAAAGAACTGGAGAACGCTGATATATCTTACAGTGTGAGTACTGTAGCTGAAATCAATATGTCTCTTGTAGTGGTACTAGTATTGAGTTTGTTCAAAATATCATATCAGTAGCCGAAGACAAATAACTAAAATTGAAAAATATAAGTTACATGCATCTTGCTGTGTCGTCATTTCGTAGATGAATCATTATCATCAATTGTCGATTGAAACCTAAACGGAACTATTTTCCATGAAATCTATATCTGCAAGCGAACAAATAACAATCCTTTTACACTATATTCAATTATTTATTTTTTCCAGAGTGGAGTGTTGAATGTCAATCTTGGCAAGTACGGAACGTACGTTATAAACAGGCAATCTCCAAATAAACAGATTTGGTTGAGTTCGCCTACATCAGGACCAAAACGGTATGATTATATTGCCGAAGGTAGTTGTTGGATCTACAAATATGATAAAAGAACTCTTCATCAACTTTTGGAAGATGAAATATCGATAATTTTGGGCGATAAAATCGACATGTCCAAATGTGCTTATTTTAAAATACTTTAGGTTACTCAAAGATTATTGATTTTGCGCTAATTTTATTTATTACATGTACCTAATGGGTCATTTGAAATTGATTATTTACAAAAAATGTTACTTTCTTCTCCAAAATATAGGTTTGATAGAAGCGTAGTGTAGGACCAGATAAATCTATATTATTTTTCCACAATACACACTTATAACTGTGAATTTACAATTATAAGTGTGAATTCATAGTTACAACTGTAAATTGACAAAGTCGCTGTGAATTTACATCATTACTGATGATTACTGTAAGTTATGATAAGCGTCTGTAGACAGCTAATTCCTCGCATGTACACTTTGTACTCAGCACAATAGATGTCAGCACGTAACATTCATTGCAAACCTTTTTAGTATATGCTTGTTGATCAAACAAAAACTAACCAGTAATCTAACTTAACCAAAGTTTGATTTGTACGTTATAGATTGTATTTCTGCGTAAGAACATAATGAAAATGTTTTGTAGTAATAGATGTATATCTATTTCGAATACAACCTGGCTCAACTGGCAATATTGATAAGGAATTACATTTTGTATCACAGTTGACAGCTGTCATTTGATTGTTTTCGTTTTCCATCAATGCTTTGACCTGGAACGTTCAGAGTGTGCAGAGATCTGGTTATTTATCGGAAAATTTGAGTGGTTTTTTCGGTTGTGTTGAAAAACTAGTTAGTGAGTCTAGTGACTCTTTTTTCACGGGATTACTGTGAGTTACCCTTATTTTTACTTGCTACACTGTAAGTAGTGATAGTGCCCTAACAATACTAGCATGGGGACTGAGTCCCCTGGTGCAATGGGAAATTCTTCACCACCCAGTTCTTCGCAGATCAATCAAAGGAACTATGTCAGAGCAGTTTCAAGAGTGAAACGGCATAAACCAAATACCATTGAGAGACTGCGATAATAATGTCAACCCAATTGTGGATGGGCACGCCCCAGGTCCACTAAGTGTGGCCACATTTGGATTTAACAACAACGTCCGTTACCAACTGGCCAGATAGCCTTAGTTGCTGAGGCCATTGAATCGAAAAGAAGAAGAAGAAGTTTTCCATCAATTGTCATAGACATGATAATATAGACTGTCCGTGACTTCACTTCTACATATATCTACCTGCGAATCAGACAAGATCTTGGCGATTACGTCACACCGTCATTCGACAAATCAAATCCCAAAAATTTTCACGTCGAGTGTATGAGTAACGCAAATGCCAAGACGTGAATCTCTATCTTTCCAAGTTTTTGGAATTGAAGTTCTCTTTTTTAACGACCAGTCCATATTTTAACCTCACTGTTAATTGTTAGGTAGCATTAGCACTTCTATTTTGTTATCAGAAAGTGGTTTTGTGTGTGTGTATTTGTGATATTGGTGTATTGTATTTATCTACGCCTCCGCCTGACAGAATAAGAGAGGTTCATAAGTACTCGCTTCACTAAGACTTGGTCGATAAGGTTTAATCATATTTCGGTCGCCATGACTGCCGAAAATGAAAAAGGAGTTGAAGTGGAACAGGGTCAGAGTCAAAGCCAAAGTCAAGATTCTGTCACTGTGTATATGTGGCTATGTCGGTGGGATTGTGTATATGTGGCTGTCTGTGGGGCTGTGTATATATGGCTATGTCTGTGGGTATGTGGCCGTTTCTGGGGCTGTATATGTGGCTGTGTATATGTGGCTATGTGTGTGCCTGTGGCTATGGAAGTATGTGTGTGGGGGGTGCTAGGTGTATGTATGTGTAGCTGTGTGTGGCGTTGGCGTGTGTGGTGGTGATGTGTGTGGCTTAGTGTCTTTGTGGAGTATATGTGTGTGTGTGGCCTATGTATGTGGCGTGCGTGGCCTATGTGACATGTGTTTCTGTGTTGCTCATGTAATTGTCTTTGTAGCGTATGTGGCTCATGTATGTGTCTTTGTGGCGTGTGTGCCTCATGTGTCGGTATGTCTTATTGTATGTGGCGTGTGTGTATTTGTGACATATATGTCTTTGTAACGTATGTGTCTCTGGCGTGTGTGTGTGTATGTGGCGTGTGTGGTTCATTGTATGTGTCGGGATTTTTATGACTCATGTCTGTGTGGCTTTTTGTGGCTCACCTCGTTGTGGCGTCTGTACCTCATGCCTGTGGCGTATGTGTCTGGCGTGTGTCTTTGTGGCGCATGTGTCTCTGTGGTGTGTTGTGTGTCTATGTGGCGTATATGTCTGTGAGGCGTGTATGTATATGTGTGGCTTCATGACGTGTGTCTTTGTGGCGTTTGTGTGTCTGTTGGTGTATGTCTGTGTGGCATGTGTGTTTGTAAGTAAATGATTATTTTGTTGTTATATTGATAAATCAGTTTTGATATGTTTGTATATAACCTATTGGTGTTTTTGGAGGTTTTAAACCATTGATAACCCTGTATTTCTACCCAACATCTCACGATATGGGCGTCTCCGTAGGTTGGTCAACGAGAAATTTTGCGACCTTATGGCTAACGATCTAACTCACATGAAAAGAAAAGTTCTTGCCGGGATTGTGATGATAAAAGACGGTTCATTGGACGACGCCGAAGTGATTTGTGTTACGACCGGCACGAAATGTGTTTCTGGAGAGTACATCAGCATCAACGGGGCCTCCTTGAATGACATGCATGCGGAAATTTTAGCGCGAAGATGTCTGATCAACTACTTCTATAGCCAGTTGGAAATGTTACTGGATGAGAGTGAGTGAAACTTGATTGGTTTTCGTTTTGAATTCTTGAGTAATAGAATTATTTTTCCTGTGTTATTTTCTAATTTGAATTTAATCGTCAAAATATTATAGTTTATAAATGAATATTATGTTTCACTTGAAAGTTGATATTAACTTTCAGGTGTTCCAAAACTATGTAATTTCTGGAAAATATCAACTTGCTCACTATTGAGAAAAACACAATTATTCTACAATAGTGAAAATATGATGCAACTATTGACTCATATATGAGATTTCAAGAATGTTGACACTATATCATCTAATTTTATTAAATTGATCAATTTGATTTGTTTGTCACAACATAAATTTGTATTTCATTATATTTAACTTGGAACCACCATCACAAAACCACGTAATCGTTTTCGAAAAAGAGAAAAGCAGTATTTTAGTTGCCCATTTAGTTTTTTGTATCATCTTTGAAATCATGTGCTTTAAGATACTGCGCCCCATTCGATTTTCGAACCCAAAATAGATGGAAAAGGATATAAACTAAAAGATGGCATAGAATTTCACTTATACATCAACACGGCACCCTGTGGAGACGCAAGAATCTTCAGTCCCCACGAAGAAAACGTCTCTACCGATAAACACCCCAACAGGGTTTCGAGGGGGCAGTTGAGGTCGAAAATCGAATCAGGAGAAGGTACAATTCCTGTCAAAAATACATCTCCTATTCAGACGTGGGATGGAATTGTTCAGGTGAGTTGAGCATTATATTTTGAAGCATCACTGTTGAATTCTTTCACAAATACTTCATTCGATTGGATTTTTGTTCATCACCGAAATTATACTGGAGGAGACTATACTAGACAGTTACAAAGCCAGGCTTTGTAACTGTCTAGTATAGTAACGGTATAGTAATTTGATTCCATCACGGCGGCACAACGGCACGCGATTAGTCATTAAAGAATTATTGAAATTGTTAATACCTTAGGCAATAAAGCAGTTTTGATTGATTGATTTTGGGTATTCTGTTAGCATATTGTCTATCATACTGCTGTCTAAATATAAACTGTTGATGAATCTCAGAATGCGTGTTTTTTTTGCAGGGAGAAAGACTTTTGACTATGTCGTGTTCAGATAAAATATGCCGATGGAACGTCTTGGGGCTACAAGGGGCTCTGTTGTCACATTTTATTGAACCGGTATACTTGAAATCAATCATTCTCGGCAGTCTCATGAGGGAGACCCATCTTCATAGGTAAAATAATGCATTGAATACTGTACTACTTTGTTGATTTAGCAACCGAAACGGCCCAACACAAACTGGTTTGAACGGTTTTGGTAGTGCCTCGATACTCGAACCATGTCTCACGTCCCCTTTATTTTTTAGAGCCATCGGCAAACGCATCGAAGGGAGTTTGCAGGGTTTGCCCCCTCCTTATCTCTTGAACAGGCCCGCGATGTGGAGGGCTACGTCGGTGGAAGTTCGACAGCCGCAGAAGGCGCCTAATTTTTCCGTGATCTGGACCTGTGGGCTGGGACAGCCCGAAATCGTGAATTCGACCATTGGCAAGCCCGAAGAAGGAGTGTCGATCGTGTCCAAGCAAAAATTGGGCGAAAGGTTCGTCAAACTGTTTGGGAAGCTGAGCAACTTGTCAGGAATCGAGACTCTGCCCGCCACGATGATTGAAGCCAAGGAGACTGTGCAAAATTACACGGTACGTGGTTTAATTATTTCACGCTTTATATTAGCTTCACCTGTATGCATGTTTGTTTGTAACTCTTAAGCTCGGGAGCTGTATTTGACAGAATTATCGGAATTATTGCTTGATCTATTCGCGGGCAGATGGCGCTGTACGCAACCTCTTTAATACATCAACATTATTGCTTGATCTATTCGCGGGCAGATGGCGCATTGTGCTTTGAATATTCAAAAACATTCGACGCATTTTCATATAGTGAACCGCCTCCAAAACCGTATACAGGGTGTTTCGGAACTTATCTCCGTTATATTTTCATTACAGGGAGGAACCCCATGGGTTAAAATTCGAATCGACAACCCCACTGAAGAATTTGTCGTGAGTTGATTATTTAGGAAGTATTGAAAAAATGACAATTTTAAAATAGTTCTTCTTCTTCTTATGGCTCTGCCTTTTCGGCAATTTGCCAATTTAAAATAGTTAATATAAAACAAATCTAACCAATATGTCGGAATAAGTTTTAAAACACTCTGTATTGTGTAAGCACGAAGAAGTACTCTTGAATGGAAAAAAGTTCAAAAAATCAATGAATATAAGGCACTTTTCAATCAATTTCTGAAATGGTATATGGCATCATCAATTGATCGCTTTGATACCAGAAGTGGGATAACAATCTTCAACTACTATTGTGAAATAGCTTGAAATGAAAAAAATATATTCTATATAAATGAAAATATAAAAACACTGCCCGGCAAGGCATGTAGAAATGAAGTTTAATAATAATGTTACACCCCTGGTGAAGGTTTGCTATAATTATTTGGATTCAGGAGTGGGATGTCTTCAACTACCAACATAAATTTTATAAAAGGTGACTTTATACCACAAAAAAACAGTATATTATATCTGGTTTCTAGGATGAATTTTCAAGAAAGGAAACTTATTTATATTTTAATAAATTGATGGATGTAGCCGTTACTACGTGGTAGGAAATCATAATCAAAAGAAAAATGAAAATTTCTGTATTTTTACCACTTTTATTTGTAACTAACGATACTGCAGTTTATTGTATAAGTTTGAAAATGTCCAATAGTTTATTATATAGTTTGAAACTGTCCGTATAAGACGAAAATGCAGTAATGTTAGTTACGAATAAAAGTGGTAAAAAACAGAAATTTTCATTTCTCTTTTCATTATATTTTAATACTTGGTGAATTAAAATAAAAATTTAAAGAATAGTACCCAACAAGGCACTTGAGAATCAAGTCGCCCCTGGTAAAGGTCTGGTAAAATTATTTGGAGTCAGGAGTGGGATAACGTTCTTCAACTACCAACATAATTTATGTTATGTCTTGTGGAACAATTGTTCACGTTCCTAGGATCCCTTTTCAAGAGAGTGAACTTTCTTGAGTCGTAATAATTGGGAATTATCAAGAAATGTTTGTACTCTGCTTTTCACTTCCATGAAAATAGAGTCAAAAAAACTTCATTTCATTCAGAGAAAGGAAGATGAAAAATCGAATCATTTTAAAAGGAAAGGAATTCTGGTCAACAATATTGATAAGTGAACTGTTTGGATCAAAAGAATTATGTATTGAAGTTTGCTGTTCAAACATTTTTATCGATTGTTTCTTGAATTTTTCTCCATTCTGTAGAACAAAAAAGTTTGTTGTAACACCACCAACCCATAATTAATAATATAATAAAATAATAACAATAGGATAATAAGTAATATAAACTTAGACACCATTTTCTTCCACCTCATCAAACAAACGATAAGACTACATGTCGACAAAATAGGGACATACAGATTATATGTTGTGTGTGTGTGAGACACCGAAAACAAGACAGATCGATTTTTAATTCAAGGGGGACACATTTCTATCATAACCTCAACTGTCACCCCTCCTCCCTCAACTCCTTGGTAACCGCCACCCTTAAAATTTGAATAGGGAAAGTACCCAGTGTACACCATTCTTGTAACTGTTCACCTCTTAACTTTTCGTTTTGGCGCCCTCTTGCGGGAGAAACAGCTATTTTAAATCATATTTCATTTGAAAGGTAATGACAACAAATCATTTACACTGTATGAACCCAGAAAATTGGCAACCATGCATAATATCAACAATTAATTTCAAACTGCATCAATACACAGAAGATACTCAAAATGTTCTCCAATAACTGCCACACATGAGTATCAGTTAGTCTGACATTTGGAGCATTTCTGAAGTTCTTGATCACATTGCATTTTCCGTTAGAGGGCGCCAAAATGGAGAGTTATATATAGTAAAGTCACATGGATGATTTCCTCATAAAGTGTACCTTTTCAATGATGTTTCACTCTTAGTACTTTCCATATTCAACGTTAATGGAGGAGGAGACATGACAATTGAGGTTATGATATTAAAAATTGATCAGTTTTGCATTTTTTCTCAACAAATGTGTTTGGGAGATATTCAATCTCGTTTCTGGTGCCACACACTGTACGATAATATACAGTGGGATGCTATGTGATTACTGCTCGTCAAAAATATTTTTCAACTTCTCTGGTAAGGATTGAAAATTCAACAAAGACTGGTAAGACATTTATTTCCAAAAGACTCCATTTTATGGAGAAGCAAATGATCCTTGTCAGTTCATTTTGAAATTGGAAAATCCCAACATTGGCATAATTCGTTGAGACGTCATCATTCATAAAACTCAGCTGGTTTGAATTGTCACCATTGTCTAAAGATAGTAATCAGATATGACAAATCTTCGGAACGGTGCTGGATATCAAGTTCGGGCAAACATTGTGTAAAATCTATTACACCCCAATAGATTACGACTCACACCAGTACAATCTAATAAATGTTCTTAATACACTCCCTGACAACAATGAAGTCTGTGTCAAAAACTACTTTACGGGTTTGCTGGCCGTGGTCTGTAGATTTTCATACCTAGCGCTTCGCCTACGGCGGCGGTAAGCAAGTCTCTGAGGAAACGCTCTGAACGTCCTCACAACACCCACGAGCACTATGTGCATTGCTGTATCGCCTTTGTGTTATGATTCAACAAGATGGGACACTTCCTCGTTAAGACAGGCTAGTTTGAGAGTTGCTTGATGACAAACATCCAAACTGGTGGATAGACAGACGTGGTCCCTCGGAATGGCCTGCAGGATGACCTGATATGGTGACCGCGAGATTTTTTTTTGAGAATACGTGGAATTCATGCATGTGTTACACAACTACAGTCCACTTTTTGTCTGCACAGTTTACAGTATTGTGTATATATTTCCTGACTAACGCAATTTCGTTCTGTGTTTTGAAATAGAGACACAATGCCATACTTGACATTTTTCTAGAGTTTTTCTTCATATATTCCCAGTGTTGCATTGATAAAATTTCAAAAAATCAAGACAATTCAAGTGTTTTTTATTCAACTGATGTTTCGGTAGATACAAATAAACGTTTATTTCGCGAAAAAACTTGAATTTTCTCGACTTATCCCAAAGTGGAGTTAAATCAGGAACTTCTCTCGTTTCCGATGATGAAATTCAGGGAAGAAAATGGTGCCACAGTCGAAAATTGAAGATAATGCACGTACAACAAATCACACTCAACACCCTAATATTACAATAAAAATAAAATTTTGAGCAAATCTTTCGTAACAAATTTTATTTTTGTATAAAAATATTTGTACCTGTCATCAGGTTCTGGTCAATTCGCTTGTAACCTTAGAAGATTTGGTGATCTTCGCTTTCAACAATCCTGGATTTAGCTCCACAAAACTGTAAAAAAAATCAAATTTACCATTAGAACAACTGAATAATACATCTTATTGAAAGGTTTTCAAAACTCGAAATAATCAGAGATATCCATTAACTCAAACAAAACCGGTACATGTAAAGTGAGTTCGAATTGTATCAAGGATGTTACGCACAGCGCCATCTGCCCGCGAATAGATCAAGCAATAATTACAATATATCAAGGAGATTATGTACAGCGCCATCTGCCCGCGAATAGATCAAGCAATAATGTCTATAATTCTGTCAGATACAGATCCCGAGCTTGAGAGTTACAAACAAACTGTCAAACATACATACAGGTGAGGCTAATATAAAGCGTGTAATAATACAGTCTGCCTTTACAATGCAGTGCTGTTAGCTATTGCACAAACTAAAGCAGATGAGTTATTCGATAGGAGCATCAAAAATCTCTTACTAGACAAATGTTACTACAGCTACGAAGAATTCCTGAATGATTGTAACTGTTAAATGTCTCTATATTGTAGATTTGATACCAGTATGTCTGATTTATTTTATTATTAACTGTGAAGAATACGATGTATAGGATACATTGTGGGTGTATTGTTTACTGTAAAAATTATGACTTGCTATATGTACTATTTTGAAACCAACTGGTCAATAAAGAATTCGAATTTCGGTGTTATTCAATATTCATGTTTGAAAGTACTTGCCTTGGATGGATTTTTTACTTCAGTTTGCATCGTGAAGATACATGCATGATCTACATGTTTGTGACCTGCTCTTATTGATGCCTTCAATTCAGTTTTTCCCAAGAGCTCATACGACATTGAATACAAATTTTACAGCATATAGATTTTGTAGCAAATAACTTACGCGATTTTTCGTTCCTTCAGCCTGGCCTTAACGACCGGCTTGATCTTGGATATCCCGTTTTCGCTCCTATTTCCACGGCCCGTTATTATCTGCAAATACTCGTGGTTTCTCTGTTCGCTCAGCTTCAGCAAATTTATGTTCCTGTCCAAGAACACGTCCAGCGCAGGGATGGCCTCCTTCACGTACAAGAAATGTAGATCGAGCGTATTGAAATCTTGCAGTCGCCTCGAGTGTTCGTCCAATAAAGCCGTGGCTGCCATTTCGTTCGCCCTCACCGAGTATTCGGTTTGGAGGCTCGCCAAGCCAGAGTAGAACTGCGCCACTTCCGTCATGCCGCGCCGGTGGTACTGTTGGGCCTTTTCGAACAGCTCGGCACGTCTCTTGAGGTATTTGCTGGCTTCTGCACGGTAGAACGAAGCTTCTTGTCGATCTTCATATTCCTAGAAAATAAATTTATCGTTTTATTCTTATCTCATACAATCTCTAATTGAAACTGTGCCTCAAGGTTCAACATTGGACCCTCTTCTGCTTTTGATGCACATCGATGGTCTGAGACTGATATCCTGGCAGATATATAATCTATAGGAAGTCAATCCGAACAGCTGAATAAAAGACCTCGTATCAACCCGCCGCCTATGCCATACAAAGAAACTGCCAACGTTCGGTAACCGGTACCGAATAAACGCCAACTTCCAACAAAAATAACTGAAGTTGACATGTTTTATGATTTGAATGAACTCCGTAACGATTCCTTTCCTCAATCATAATTGCATCTCTTTCTAATGTATTGATGTAACTTCTAATCGGGACGAGAACCAATTCGAAGATCCTATCTCGAGGTACAAACCGATGACATCAGACCTCGCCACTATCAACAATTCATAATTACTTTCAATATCTCATGTTGACGTCGAGGCTAAGGACAAAGCCTAACACGCCGACGACCTGAGTTCAATTCTCAAATATTTCATCAACTACCCTAATGACATGTGTTAAAACGTCACAAAGGTATGGCGAGCGGGATGAAGTGGCTGGTATAAAGTTGAGGAAAGGACGCCACGTGACTGGTGCGCTCTGATTGGCTGACTCGCTGGCTGCCTGAACTACCGCCACTTCTACTCGGCGGTAGTAATTATACTGTAAGAGTTCTGGCTCATTACTTATGGAAAACACGGAAGGGGTAAAAGTCAGCGCCTCGTCTCTGCCACACGTCCATTATGTATAAGCTGAGCTTTAGCCTTCAAAGCCCACTTCAGACCACCTCCACTTTTACCGTCATACAGTCGACCAATCAGAAGTTACCGCGCGTACAGCGGGAAATTCAAACCAGTAGATGAACAATGTATATTCTGGCCCACTTCAAGGTCTCGCGGTAGCTTCTGATTGGTAGACTGTATGACTCTGAAGTGGGCTTTGAAGGTTAAGGCTCAGTTTACACATAATGGACGTCTGGTAGAGACGAGGCGCTGACTTTCAAGCATGTTTGATTTGTTGGCGATGGAAAATAAACAGGCAGGTCACAAGTCTTCTCAACACTAATGGAAAGATGTCTGAGAGCACTCAAGGCTCTAAATACCCAAACAGGGTCACTCTAGCTTGGGTACTCGGACATGAGAGTCACAGGGGCAATGAGGAGGCCAATGTTCTAGCCCGTGAAGGTCCATCCAAGGCTAGAATAGATATCCATAAATTCATGGAAGCAATCCGAATCGATAGATTGGTGGAATAAGCTCCCAGGAGGAAAAGAGGAAGAAACCGCACTGCACATGCCCTGTAAATGCAAAGATGCAGGGAAGAGAAACCAGAGTCTGCCAACTATATGAAGGGATCAGTGTCAAGGCTACGAAGTCTCATCAAAGAGATCGAGCTAGACAATGCATCACAATAGATCTGAAAAGACCGCCATGGGCTAGCTCCCAGACAATCTAATCTAATATTATAGATCCCTCGAGCACCCTTACCATTTTCATGAAATCTCAAATGTAATAACTAAAGCAGAACTTACCTCGCTACCGTTAATCTGTTGCGCCATCTTCATTTCTTGCACAACTTCTTCTCTTATTGGTGGCTCTTTAACTTGCTCGATACTGCCACTGACATTGTCGTATCCCGTTGAAGCCAGCAAAGTCTCCACGGTCTCCTTATAATTATTATTGTGTGCATAGAGAACTTCGAGGAGAACATCTTGGGCGACGGTAGGAAAAGCTCCAAACAACTTCTGCCTGGTGAGCATAGCGGCCAAGTTGTCGGGGTTCAGACTTCTCCACTTCTCAGACTCCTTCCTGTAAGCGTCCCGCGACGCTTGCTGATCCTCCATGATCTGCCTCAAACTCGGAACGGCCTCCGCTTCGTCGCGATGTTGATCTTCTTCCCTTTGCAACTTCCTAGCGAACTCCTCGTCCTCCTTCAAGAGCATCTCCAAGACGTGTTTTTGAGTTTCCATTTGCTGGTACACGCTCTCGACGTAAAACGTGTACAGCTGTCTGGCCAGAGAGCGGGGGACCTGAACGACAGGCTGAAGACCCTGGGGGTACGGCAGGTTGGGGTCTCCGAAAAGGTTCTCCAGCTGAGACGCGAAGTTCGCGCCGATATTGAGCTCTATAATTTCATCCTTTGAGCCTTCTGCGTTGACTTCGTCGAGTTCCAAATCGGAATCGATGACAATGATCTCGTCAGATCCCTCGGAGGAACTATTTCTGGGAGGGGTAGACGGAGCCGGGTCAGAACCCACGCGGATGTCATCCACTCCGAACTTGAAGTTCTTCACCCTCAATAGCTTCTCCGAGTAATGTTCGCCACTTATGTCTACTTTGCTCTCGATGAGCTTCTTCACTTGATCAATTTCCACCGACATCCTCTTATTTTTCCTGCTTTTCCTCTTCTTCGGTTTGTTCTCGCTGCTGCCGCTGCTGGAGGCATCCGTAACATCGCTGTCGGTACCCACGTGTACATTCGACACTTCTTCTCGACTCGAGGCGTTGATATCTTCGGCTGTCAACGACGTCACTTCCTCCTTTACGTCTAGGAGGAACTCGATGGTATATTCCAAATCCCCCTTGTATTTGTTGTACCAGTAGGTTAGATGGGTTTTTGGTGTGTGGGGGAACATATTCATCAGTTGCAATATGTGGCTGTCAAAGTCTTTGTTATAATGGTCGGTCATGCAACTCTTGTCTAACATAACAATCTTAGGTATTGCTGGCTTTACCATGTAGTTGTTCAGGGTATAAAGGTTGATGTTCCGGTTCATCGCTATCAGGACCCTTACGTTCCCGTGGAGTCCGGGAGTCATGTATCCGCTTTGCAACATCTCGAAGTCCTCATCCGAGGTGTTGCTAGAGGAATCTCTGGTTTCCACCACCGGCTTGGCCCGGGAGGGTTCTGTGTTAGTTCTCGGGGCAGCCTCGACTTCCAGGGGTCTAACGATATCCCAAGAAAACAGCGAGCTTTCGTTCACTCCCCACATTTGTTCGATGTCCGGCACGCCGCTAATTGGGCCCTTTGGGGGTGATTCTTCATCACTGCTTAAAACAGTTACTTCCATCGTACTAGCTTGGGAAGGTTCGGGTACGGTGGTCCAGGGGTTATTGTTGGTCCACCCTGCGTTCTCCAATTTGGGCTGGGAACTCGATTTGGTCGGGACGTCATCGTCGAATTCCATCAAATTAATAGTCTCGACCTCTTTCGAACTGACAGCTGTCACGGCAGGTTCTCTTTTAGGCATCTCTGTTTCACTTTTCTTGTAGGAACTTTTCACAGGCGAAATGTTAAAATCAGGTGGGGGGTACAATCGTATCTGAGGAGGTCTTTGCTGCTCATAAACGAAACCGAAGGCGCTCAGCAACTTTTCAGGAGTTATATTCTTCTCGTACCGATCTATCATTTCTTTTATCTTTACTCTAGGAACGCCGTGGCTGTTGCGTTTCGCCAGTTCCTTGTCGTTGAAGCTCCAGTGAGTGTCCGGTTCCAAGATATGGATGAGGTATCCGTACTTGGTCGCCATGGCTGCGTAAGGCCTCATCTCCCACATCCGTGTGTGGGTATTATCGATTAGCACGGGGCTGAAGGACCTAGTCAATGCTTGGGTGGCTCTCTTCTGATTCCAAGTATGAGCCTCTTCGATCTTCCTGACATCGTAGTCGTAGAAACCTGTTCGGCGTTGATAGAAAAAGTCGTCGGCGCTCAGGATATGCAGCGGGTGGTTTTGGTCGTAGCCAATTGTCGACTGGAGTACTTTGCGAGCGAGGTAACTCTTCCCCGAGCCCGGCATACCTCGCAGTATAACCATCACCTTGTATCCCTTGTTGATATCATCTACGGCTCTTTCGAAATCCATGGCTTTCTTAGATTTTCTCGCGGGGGGCATCACAGATACAGGCCTAGGCAAAGCAAAGGTCAGATCAGTTACGTCATACATTTTCTTCCAAGATTCTTCTGAGGGTTGTCTCGATATTTCCAGCAGTTTGGCGGACGATCTTGTTACTGATGAGAAAAGCAACTGTCAGTTCGATTTATTAGATTGGCGATTGGAGTATACCAATACAAAGAAATAATGCCGCTACGAAGTAGTCCACGTGGACTGAAGAATTCGCGGTTCGTATTGGGTATTTTTTACTAACCGAGTTTTATGATTGGCTGAAGAGTCATAAAATTAAATTTGAAGTCATGTTACGGTGACGAATAGAAATCGGGAATGCGGGGATGGTTATCGCCGTCGTGTCATCAATGTTCAGTTCAGGAACTGATCGCGATTTGAGTGTTTTTTTGGGTTATGTATTCCCTCTATGTTAGTGATTATCTCTAATAGTTATCTGCTTTTTTATATTATTAAATATAAATCAAAACAAATGGCTGTTCGAAATTGGACCTTTGTCGCTATTCATTCCGCAGTTTTCGACGACCAAGCTTTCGAAAGTATCTAGAATCCTATTGTCATGTACTGGTCTCAACAGTTTTAAACATTTCTCACGTATTCTATGGTCGTTCTTTATGGCAGTATGAACTATCAAAGTGAAAATGAAAATCCATAAATTATTCGATAAAACTCTTTTATCCATCGATAATTTTCCATGGCTCGCTTTGTTTTCCAGGGAAACATAAATAAAAATTAAAAGCGAGCTACGCAATAATAAAACACTGTTTGCAATGTTTGCCATTTTTCAAGTTACATTCACCATTGTAACAAAAACAAATGTCGGTATATTTCTTGGTCAATAATATTCCGTAATAGGCCGTTAAAGTTTTACATAAGCACTATATAAAGTCTTAGCTTTGCTTATTTTTGATGACATGAGGATGGGGATCTAGATGATGATTATGTCAGCAGTAGTTATTTCCTTTTTTATACATATGGCGACTCACACATTGTGAACCTCTGAAAATGAAACGCATTTTCGGGGATTTACACAAATAATGTTTACGTTCAGGTACTCGCTTAGAACCGAGAAGGGGAATTACCGCGGCGCTATTCACTTGTCTAAATTTCTTATTCTATTAATTTCTAAACATTCTAGGGTGATGATCAACTGTATTGCCAAACATGCGCCTAACTGACTGACAATTATAAGAAAACAAGTATAGCTGAGGTACCAGTCAATCTAATAATAACACTGATGATCTTCAAACATGACTCAACCTCTGATGGAAACACCATACTCTTAGGAAGGTTTGAAATAAATGAACAGTTCAGTCTAGCAGACCATTATTGTAATGTTGCTGTACACTAAGTGTTCTGGCGATGTATTGAATTTATTGGAGCCTCTGGAGACACTCTACATTTTGTTTTATGAAAGAGAGGACATTGGCAGATCAAGATCTTCAGATGATGTGGTGCTGCAGGTTTTTCCGGGTTTTCCTGCAGCTGAAAAACCAAATGCGCCACTGAAATCAATGAAGTCGCCCCGGAGCGCCAATTAATTTTTGTTGTGTCATAATTTCATGATTTGTATTACTTTCTTCTTTAATTCTAAATGATTAAGTTTAGAAATAAATAGATTTAAAAAATTCAGGTAATTTACTGAATGACCAGATAGAATTAAATAACTCCCCATAACTGATTTTTTTTTTTTGATTATCATGTCAATAAAGTTTGTTAAAATGAATATCATGTGAGTTAAAATCTATTTCCTCATTACTAGAACTATAACTGCTGCTCATGAATCAATAAAAAAACAGAAAATCAAAACAAAAATGCATATAACAGTGTTTACATAAGCATGGGAGGGGGGTAAAAGCTTTGCTTACTTTCGCTGACAAAGGGGGTGGAGGTGACTAATTGTAATAAATATGCTTACTCAAATGGCCCCTAAACTGTGTCAAAATATAAATAGTCTCAACAGAAACTTGATTAGAGATCCTGATAAATCATCAATCTAAACAGAAAGGGTTTCCACCACAAAAAGGAAAAGGATGATTACACATTGAAAACTGTAATAAAATAGATCACGAAGAGAAACAAATATCAAATCAAGAGCAATAATTGGTTCAAGAAATAATATTAGATCAATAACTACTTATATGTTCAAAGATATTTCATTTAATTGGTAGGGAAGGTAGCCATTTATGTGATCAACAGAAAACTCAGAACTAAAAATCTGATTGAAAGATGAAACAGCGAGAAATTGAGAAATAACGCATGAAAGTTGTCTCCAACTAATTTTTGTAAATTAAGATTAAATCGCTAAACAGAAAAGATACTTGATTTGTTCAAGAGTGGTCTGAGTTACTACCTGTTACAGACTTTCATCAATATCTAACCACAAAAGCTTTATATGTATTCTTCAAAAATAAATTCAGAAATTGATTGACAACGGCACATCAACTAATAATTCAAAAAGCCGGATAAGATTGCATAGCGAACATACATCCATTTTTGAAGTATCACCAAAAACATTTCCATAATGAATGTTGAAAAAGTAAAAAACTTGTATGATAAGTCCAATAAATATGTTCATGTAACATATTTTCAATTCCAAAAACAATGCCAGCGTTATACAACAAGTTTTGATGCCATCAGAATTCATAAGCAATTTAGAAGCAAAAACAAGCTTACTATCATACTATAAGGGCACAGCTACAGTCTTGATGACATTAAACTACAGTGCCCCCAAAAAGCAAGTTAGAAGCAAAAACAAATCAGAAACAAACTTACTATCATACTCAAAGGACACAGCTACAGTTTTGATGACATCAGAATTCACTGTGGCCCCAAAAACTTCACTGAGCTGCTGGACAACTCTCTCCTTCGAATTATTCGAGTATATACAAGTAGCCATGATTCACCTAAAATAGGAATACGAGAAATTACAATATTGGTTACACTATGCCTTTGTTTTTGAATGGTTTTATATTCTGATGATACGAACAAACATGTACGTAAAGGTGTGCTGATCACACTGTGGAAATCCGCTTGATAATAGAGTATAGGATTCCAAATGATTCGGTTATCAATAAAACCATTAATCAATAAATGATAATAACCATTGTTTCGCAACTCAAACGATTTTATATCTACTGATATGATTAGCATCCATATCAAGGTAGGGATTTTGTTTCAAAGATAAACAATACAGACTGTTTGAACTCTGTGGTAAAAAAGCGGATGGATAAAAAAACGGTGATTCACCCAGCCTCTTGAAATTATTCACCAATAATCTCAGACACTGTAAGAGATAAGGAGATGGCTACATCAATACATTTGTAGTCGAATATTGAGTTGGGTCATTAATTCATACCAAAAATGGATTTATATCCCATATTGTTCAACTCTACTCTATATTTCTGGTTTCATTTTATTTCAGAAACAGTTTGTTTAGTCTATAAACTAGAGCAGGACTTTTCTTATTTACCTCTCATTATGCCATAGGCCAGATCCTAAATTTGAACCTCCCCATACCTATCAATACTTTAATTAAAAATTCTATATCGTATAATGGTTTCAAGATGTATGATAATCTTCCTAAATACCTGGAATACATGGTAAACATTACCGAATTTCAAAAATCAACAGTAGATTATAGTTTGCAAGAATTTTATGACGACTCAGATTAATCACATTTTTTTAAATATACGTGATTCCTTACATTGATTATACATTTTAGCAATTATTTTAATGTTTAAGTATACTATTTTGTGTATAACAAGTATTTTTCAGAAATTATGACATTTGAAATTTTATAATCTTTATGGCGGGAACAAATTTTAATGTGTCACCCATGTATATCTCAACACTCTCATTTATTTCAAAAATAAAGCAGAAGTGAAAGTATTCAAGGCCTAATGATTACACTAACTGACTGCAACTGTAATTTTTGTTTCTAAAAGAAATTTCGAAAACAAATCATTTCGAAATACAATCAATTCACGCCCGAAAAAAATAAAGTTCCAAGTTTAAAACTTTCATTATTTATGATCAACAACCAACTACTGCAATGGAAAACATATGATTGTAATATCTTTGTTGATAATGACCTCTAAAACAAACTCATCTACGCACTAAGTAATATAATTCATATATGAAAAACACATACCTACCTGTGTATTTATCTCTAGTTCACTTTAGATGCACGAATAATCCAAGTCCAATCGAAAAGAAAACAAATTCTCCCCAATTGGGAACAAAACACAACAGAACTTTACGTAAATCCACTGTGAAATGATAAACAACTTATAATAATTTTGAAGTAGTACTAATCTAACCTAAAGAGAAACGTCATTTATATATATATTTTTCTATCTTCTTCTTATTATTCCCGGCCTTGCTTTTGAGGCACTAAATTCAGAAACTTCTAAAAGGGTGGAGGAAATTTCGACCTGTTATCGTTATGTTAATCTCAAACATGGTATCGAAATTGTTGTAGTGGGCATGAATGTCCCATTAGAAGAAATACAAGATGATCTATATTATGATTATATGGACTGTTTTTTCCTTCCTGACTAATGGTATTCCGTTCTATGTTTTGAAATAAAGAGATTTGGTGCCACAACTGGAATTTTTCTAGACTTTTTCTTCATACATTCCCAATGTTTCACTGATAAAATTTCAAAAATCAGGCAATTCGAGTATTTTTTCATTCCAACTGATGAAAATTGAATTTTCTCAACTTTTTCCAAAGTGGAGTTGAATCAGGAACTTCTTCCATTCCCCGATGATGAAATTCAGGAAAGAAAAACGTGCCACAGTTGAAAATTGAAGATACTGCACGTACGGCAAATCACACTAAACACCCTAATATTTTAATAAAAACAAAATTTTGAACAACTCTATAATAATAAATTTCATTTTTGCATAAAAAAATTCGTACTTGTCATCAGGTTTTGGACAATTCGCATAAAAACATTCGTACTTGTCATCAGGTTTTGGACAACTCGCTGGCAACCTTAGAACCTTTGGTGATCCTCACTTTCAACCTCCCTGGATTGAGCTCCACACAACTAAAAAAAAAATACAAAATTAACATATATTGGCGAGGCTTCTAGACTAGAAAAATAATCAATCCGCTCTAACAAATAACAAAAAACTTACTCGATATTTCGTTCCTTTAGCCTTGCCTTCACGGCCGGCTTGATCTTGCATATTCCGTTTTCGCTCCTATTTCCACGGCCCGTTATTATCTGCAAATACTCGTGAGTTCTCTGTTGGCTCAGCTTTAGCAAACTTATGTTCCTGTCCAAGAACACATCCAGCGCAGAGATAGCTTCTTTCACGTACAGGAAATGTAGATCGAGCGTGTTGAAATCTTGCAGTCGCCTCGAGTGTTCGTTCAAAATAGCCGTGACTGCCATTGCGTTCGCTCTCACCAAGTATTCGCTTTGGAGGCTCGACAAGCCAAAGAAGAACTGCGCCGCTTCTGTCAAGCCGTGCCGGTGATACTGTTGGGCCATGTCGAACAGCTCGCACCGTTTCTCGAAGTATTTTTTGGCTTCCGCACGGTGGAATGAGGCATCTTGTCGATCTCCATATTCCTAGAAAATATGGTAAGTATAAGAAATTGAAAACAAACAAGTTTGTGGAGATCAAATCATGAGGTCGTGAGTAACGGCCGAATCAATCAGAAAAAAAATCGCTTTTGATGCACATCGATGATATGAGACAGATATAACTTCAGAAAGATTCAACTTGTGTTCGAGAAATGAGGTGAATGTTGAAATTTCGCGATCGTGTATTATGTTGTTACGGAATTGAGTGCCCCTCAAGCACACTTGCACTCATCTCAAATGTAATAACTGAAGGAAAACTTACCTGATCACCGTTAATCTGTTGCGCCACCTTCATTTCGTGCAAAACATCTTCCCTTATTGGCGCCCCCTCGACTTGCACGATACTGTCATTGACATTTTTGTATCCTGTTGTAGCCAACAAAGTCTCCACTGTCTCCTTATAACTATCATTGTGTGCATAGAGAACTTCAAGGAGAACATTTTGGGCGATGGTAGGAAAAGCGTCAAACAACATTTGCTGGTTAGAACAGTGGCGGGGTTCACATTCCTCGCCGCTTGTTCGCGATGCTGATATTGATCTCTTTTCAGCTTCCTAGCGAACTCTTCGTTCTCCATCTCCAAGACGTGGTTTTGGGATTCCAATTGCTGGTAGACGCTGTCGACATAAGACGCGTACAGCTGCCTGGCCAGAGAGCGGGGAACCTGAACGACAGGCTGAATACCCTGGGGGTAAGGCAGGTTGGGGTCCCCGAAACAGGTCTCCAGCTGGGTCACGAAATTCGCGCCGAGGTTGAGCTCTACGATTTCGTCCTTCGCGACTTCTACTTTGACTTCCTCGTGGTCGGGTTCCACCGACATCCTCTTCTTCCGTCTGTTTTTCCTCTTCTTCGCTTCATTCTTGTTGCTGCCACTCCTGGAGGCATCATTAAAATCGCTCTTGGTACCGAGGTATACATTCGACATTTCTCGACTCGTGGCGTTGATATCTTCGGCCGTCAATGCCGTCACTTCCTCCTTTACGTTTAGGAGGAACTCGATGGTATGATGCAAATCCCCCTTGTATTTGTTGTACCAGTAAGTTAGATGGGTTATTGGTGTCTGGGGGAACGTACTCATCAGTTGCAATATGTGGTTGTCAAAGTCTTTATTATAATGTCCGGTCATGCAACTCTCAGCTATGGCTGGAGGCATATTCTTCTCGTACCGATACATGGCTTCCATAGATTGTCTCGCGGGGGTCATCACAGATGGAGTCCTAGGCAAAAAATAGGTCCGATCAGTTACGTCATACATTTTCTTCCAAGATTCTTCTGGGGGTGCCTTGATATTTCGGCGGACGACATTGTTATGCATCTCTAGTTCCCTTTGGATGCGCGAGTAATGTGAATAATTCATGTCCAATCGAAAAAAAAAATTCCTCCCAATTAAATCAATGTGAAATGACACACAACTTCTAACAATGTTGAAGTAATACTATTCTACTCTAATGAGAAACATCATTTATATACTATCTTTCTGTCTTCCAAAGGAGTGAGGGAAATTTTACCTGTTATTAATCTATTAGAACAAATGAATGGGGGAAATTTTACCTGTTATAATTAATCTCAAAGATATTATAGGAATTGTTGTAGTGGGATATTCTATTAGAACAAATGCAAATTGATCTTTATTGTGCTGTTTTATTTGTATCCTCCAAATTTGCACAGATTGAAGAGCAACTCTGGTGTTACTAATGAGGAACAAATAACCAAAACTCAATGTTGGACTTGGAAAACTCCCGAAATTCAAGCTCAGATTCATTGAACTCATATCAAAATCAAATTATTCATTGTTTGCTTAATTATATCTCTCAATTATGAGTTCCGTCACCGTATAGAAGTAAACACCTATACGGTAGTTCGTAGTTCCGTGTTCAGGTGGTTCCGTGTTCATGAAACTTTATAGGTTATGTTATGATTTTAGGTTATATTATATTTTGAGGTAAAATAATAACTGTTTTTGAATTACATGGATATATCTAGAAAATAAAAATGGCCCTGGAGAGAAAAAACTTCAAAGACATCCCAACAGATGCTATAGTTTTAACAGAAGAGCAGGCTTTAGTATATCAAACAAAAATATTGAACAACTGGAGTGTTCCTGCAGATGTGTATGTATCTGTGCTATTAGAAAGCTGAAAAGCTTAACACAAATGCGTTACATTTCGTGAACCATGTCACCTGTTGACAAATTCATGTTTTTTTTATAATTTTATAATCAGTATTTTCATATTCCTATGTAAACAAGTTTTGGTTGCGAATATCTTATTAAGGAAATTCCAGATTCGGCTTCAAATATGGGTCCTTCTTTCTTGGAGGTGCTACTATGTTCGTAGGAATATACATTAACAATTTCTTTAGATGGAAATTCAAACTGATGCATTATGGGCGTTTTGTATCCTATTTGCCAATGGCAGCCATTCCCGCTTCACTCACAGTCTTATTACACCAAGAGGCAAGTGAAATCTCTTCATTGTTAGATGTTGAGGGAATTTACATGAATTTACTGATGTTGAATAAGTTGTTTCTTTGAACGCAATTGATTTTAGGTGGTACTGAAGGACCTTGTTCTGAAGAATCAAGATACATGCCCTGTTTGTCTACAGACTAGAGCAGCAGCCCTGCAAGCTGCCGTAGGTTGTGTTTTTCCTTTGCTTATTGCACCCATTTCATCACTCACGGTAAGTAAACCGAAAATCAAATTAAATGCAAGTTATAATGTAATGATGAAATTCGTGCCTTTGTGTCTTCTTGAAAGGACAACATATTTCAATACATTTATAGTTGATAATGTAAGTTCTTGCAAAGCACCAAAACCTGTTATTTTGTAATCGGTTTTTCATCCAAGTGAGACTTTTTTTCCACAAATTTTTTTGTGTTGAATATATAACAGGTTAAACAACATACAGGTTGAATATCGAGATGATTTTAACATTCATATTTTTTCAGTTAGTGAATCGATACAAAACTTACGATATACCTTACATCAGTAGAGAACCCATGAAAATATTCAGACTTATTCAGAAGATGATAAAACCGAAACAGAACATTCTTTTTGGAATATTTATTGCCCAGGCACTATTTGGAAGTATAGTGACTTATCTGGAGGCAGAATCAATATACAAAGTCAATTCGAAACTGTTGGAATTGACTGCAAGTGAATCGGAGGTTTTGGAATGAGAAAAAACCATTCAGGAAAGTTCTAGTCACTGGTTGTAACGATTCAAACATTTGTTCTGTAACTTGACATTCGAAATGAATCAGAGGTATAGAACTAAGGAAAAAGCTTCAATTTGCAAAGTCATATCGTGTGACAACAAAAATCCTTGAATTGTGTTTTATCAATTGATGCTGTAGTAAATTTTTTAATTAAAAATCAGTAGAATTACTGACTTATTTATTAACCTCTTTTGGCTTTCAAGCCGTGTACATCATAATGGTTTCATTGAAAAAGTTGGTATACTTGTGTAATTTGAAATTTATAAGGTCTACCAACCAGTGTTGCCAACGTGTTTTGGAGGATTTTGGGAAAATTACTTGAAAAAACCATTACAAAACGTTATCATTTATTTCTTGAACCCCACTATAATAAATTCATAATGACTAAATCGCAACAATCGAAGATAAATCAGAATGTAGTCTCATGTATACTAAAATGGTGTAATGTATGATCGACATTTCGTCGTCCAAATTTTAGGCACAGATACGTTGATGGAATTTTTGTTATTCACTTCTAAAATATCATTGAAAATCTACCATTTCATTTTGGAACCAGTCAGTTCTCCATCAAAAAGTAATAGAAATTGTTCAGCATGTTCGCCACAATAGTTTCATCTCAAAATTTAAATGGTAGAGTTGGTACACTTGTGATTTGAAAATCGTAAGGTCTACCAAGTGATTCCAGTGTTGCCAACGTGTTGAGGGATTATTGGCACTTACATGGAAATTTAAAAAATCTGCATAATTCACAAGATATCTGCCTGTAAAATAATTCAATCTTTGTTTTCGGGGAGTACTGGAAACAAAAGTGACATTCAATACTGAAAATTTGCAACTCAACTGGTAGATGAATCCACTATTGTTAGGAACAGACAATATTTTCAGTTTGGAGATCAGTCCTAACAGGTCTACCTTGAAGTTTCTCAAAAAAGTACTATTTCATAATTTTGCTCTATTCTGGACCTATCTGCTATCATATCTTGCGGTGTCATTCTTCATCACAATTATGAACATGATCCCCAATTGCGCCTGAAGGAAGCATCGGCCAATAAAGAAGAGAGAAGATGAACATTATCATTATGTCACTAGGATTGTTATGTTCGTAAAGTTGAAAGATGAGATCTCCTAATGAATATATTAAACTCGGGGATGATGAGATAATTAATAGAAATGTTTATAACAAATAACTGGAATTCTGACCAGTGTTGTCAACTGTTATAGGGGAAAACAAAATTCACTTGTTTTGCCTCTCGAGTTTTACCACTAAAAATTATAGGAAAATGTAAAATCTGAATTATTTCGATAGCACACAATAACACTTATGAATAATTATATTCTTCACTTTCTCTCTCTAGAACATTGAAGATGGCTACTGTATGTAGGTAAGCCTAGGTAGGCTTGCCTAGTTATTAATTACCAGGCGAGCGGATGCGACCAGGTAAATCAATAAAGGTAACTACATCGAGCTGATAAGTAGACCTCTCCATGTAAAAAACTAACATTTGGGACTAAATTTGGTTGATTATTAATAGAATGAAGGTGATGAAATAATGATAAGCAATGGCATGGTTAGAGAAATGCCTATCACTCTACCAGAAATCTGTTCAACTCCCAGATCTTCATCTTCAGTCTTCTGGTTATTGCAAAGCTTTCCACCAAAATGTTTACCAAGATATGACAGCAGAATCAGGCTTTGTTCACAATAATTAAAATGTTTTGAGAGAACGGCATTGGAGAAAAGATTTTTATTAAGATCTTTCAGATCAGAGTTAATTCCTCATGGTATTCAAGCAACAGAGTTAAATGAAGAATTCTTGAGGCCCATTTTTTTGCAAGAATTATTGTATTTTTGAGTGCTAATAGTAATATTTATTGACTATTGGCAATACAAAGAGTACAAGTCTCGATAGAATGTGATAATTAATTTGAAAGTTTCATAGTTTATGTTGTATTTCGATTAAAATGTACTGAAATTTCATAAACAACGTTGTTTGTTCAAAAAAATTAGATGAATGTTCAAATTTCGCGGGCTACAAATATTCGATTGGCGATTTTTTTATGTTGGTACAATCGTCTCGCACATATGTTCATAGCACAGAACTATAACTCTAGGTTATAGTTCTGTGCTATGAACCACAGAACTATAACTCTAAGAACTATAACTCTTAAAGTGGTTCATAGTTTCAGCTGTTCATCATGTTCAATTTGTTGGTGAAAGGCATGAAAATTGAAAATGTTTTGAGTGTTCGGCAATGTTCTGCTATCGAAAAGAATTTGCATCAAATTTTGTTAATTATTTAGTCTCGGTATAAGAAATTACAACTTCTGCAAAAAAAGCCCCTAGAATTCTTCATTTATCCCGGTACATTATGTGTTCAAAAAAACCAGGTATTCAGTATGAACAGTGACTATTCAATATATCAGAAAATACTGATTGAGCGTCACTATTGATAATTTTTCGTAACAATGGTGACAATGTGGCAGTGATCTTCAATTTAAAATGTAACCATCATCTATAGATGACGTTATTCCCAAGCTTTAATGGAACCTAAACTAGAAATATCTATTCATAGCCATAAATGTTAGTCTATATCTACGAAAATGAAAAAGCAACACTTGCCAAAAACATTTCGAACTTTTTTTGGTAAAAAAATATTTCAATTTTTTTATCAATAAAAACAAAACTGATACCCCTATACACTAACTAGTTGAAGTTCTTAACGCCATTCGACATACGGACTTAAATTCTAACAATTCGTATTTTTGAAAATGCACCACACTACCAAAAATGATAGTATTTCAACTCATGGTTGGTTCATACGCCAAACTTAAGGAGAAATTTTATTTTAGAGATTTGCTAAAAAAATCTCAATTTTTATGCTTGCTTCACTATTATTTTTAACAGGATAGCAACTTATTTTTATAGTGTACAGTGAAGAGGAACTAAAGCAGGAGGGGCACAGTTTGCTGAATTATACTTTTAACTACCCTATATGAACGTCACAAAACAATAATTGAATCAAAAGTGTGGTCTATGAGCCAACAGTTTCAATATTGAATTGCAAGTGACCTAGGCTAAAAAATCCTGCAATAGGTACATAGTAAGTCACTTTAATGAAATGAATAAAAACACTTTTGTCTAATCACCAATAGAAAACTCAATTATATCGGGAGTTTTAAGGTAAGATAGAAGGACAGGTAATCAAACTGTTGAAAGCTGTTGTTATTTTGTATTTAGAGAATTAATTTTGAATATATTTTCTGAAAGTAGTAGTTGATGCTACTATATTGTGTTCTCTGCACTAACTTATAAGTGTTTTATGAGTTTAACCTGATATTATGTTAAGTATAGTAGCATCAACTACCTACTCAGGTAAACTGAGTAGGCCAAACTGGTAGAAATTTTGACGTAAGGCTCCGTGAACAGGTCTGTTTGGACAAAAAATCCATAATGTATGAAAATCTTCAAGAATCAAAACACAAGATAAATAAAGATAACCTCAAAATCCTACGCATATGTAATAAAGGAAAGAAAATGAATTTGTTGGAAGCCATGGAAATTAACAAATCAATTAATAACCGAGTTATCAAATTTCTCATTTCAGTTTTATACTTGATAATGGGGTTAAACCCGAAACCGGTCGTATAAATAAAATGAACTAGTGGTAATTAGACAAGTGTTTATATTCATTTCATTAAAGTGATCATGAATTACCACAAAATAAACAATTCATCAATCACACATAGTATATAATAAGCTTGTCATCGACCTTCTTTAGGTATTTTTACCTTCCACAATCTGAAAAATATAAAACTTGTGATGGAGAGCTTTTACATGTGTTGACAGGGCAAACTTTTTAGTTCACCCCCCAAAGAAGTTCGCTAAAAACTGATTTTCCTCAACAAAAAAGTACATTCATTCAATATTTGAACTCCTCATCTACTAAACTAAAATTTGAATATCATGAAAAATATTCAATCAGTAGGTCTAAGTCTAACTTCACTTTCATACCAAATTAATGTCCAGTTTACTTGAATGAATTGAAAAATCAAGGATTTAAGCTGGTACTGAACAAAGTCAAAATTTAGGGAAGTTTGTTTTGTTATTTTTTTCAATTAATAATTATTTGAAAATGTGCCACTGAAAGGGCAAATTATTTTATGAAAAAAGCTACTCAAAGTGTCAGTATTTATAAAGCCTTCTCGATTTTTTATTATAAGTGAAGATGACAGAACTTGAATTCCATTCACTTTAAATTTCTGACTCAGCTGTTCTGTGTATCTGACAATTACACAAGCTCATCCTATAGCTATATTCATCAATTTGTTTTCAAATTTTATAAATAAAATCAGTTCTACCAACACAAACAGAAAATTAATTCAGTTCTGCCAACCTAGAACAAAATACCTATCAGTTCTGCTAACTTTGACTGAAAAAAGAACTACTGAATATAGATGACTGCTATTCATTGTCAAATGTTAAACAGCATATGCAATCTACTAGTAACTGAAAAGTATACAAATATTCTCAGTTGATGTGAATAACCTCCTTTCTCATTTGAGAAGTGACAATTTCAATTATTTTAAATTGAAAATTGTACTTACTCCTTAAGAATACAATCATTTTGATACTTCTGGTTATTTGCACAGAACACCAGGTGTAAAAGAAAAGATCCATGAAATCAATTATCTGGTGGATTGTGAATATAAATGTTGCAACACTGTGAACATTTACAGCTAATACAGTTTAGTGAAATTTGTTAAATAGCCTAGAGATTCAATTTCCTTCAATATCGAACAATATTCGATTTACTCTGAATTATCCAATATGGAATTTGCAGCAAGAACATGTTAAAGTACAAACTGCTCATGTATATCACACTACATATCTATGGTGAAAGTATTTAATGTAAATTCAAAATATTGGGCATACGCTGCTATCCGAAAGCTAAACTCTCGTATAAAAACAGTTTTAACCAGAAGATAAATGTATCTTTGTTAAATTGCCGCCCAATAGCTTGAACTGATTGTGACACAAGACATTGTGATAAATACATGACTTTGAAGAGATGAGTACCTATAATATTCACTCAAGCACATTGTAGCAAGCACCAAGCAATTTGAATGTCGAAACAATGTTCATCACTCATCATTCTATCAAGATTTTTTTGACAAATCAGATATACGAAAAATGATGATTGATTTTTGTGAAAATAAATTCAATCTCCAGTCATTTCCTAAAGTTACACAAGAGAACACAAAAGTTACTTTCTTGTGGTATTTGGTGATTTGCAACTTTATGTAGCTTTCAATGTTGAGTTTGTATTAAATAATGGTTTAAAATTGTCAACAAAGCACTTAGTACAAAGCACTTAGTCAAGACTGACAACTGTACTGGGTACTGAGAAAATCATAATATATTCAGCTTGTGATTTAAAGAGTTTCTTTCTTATAGTCGAGACTGTTGTAGCTTTCAAGGATGGGTTTGTATTAAATAATGGTTTAAAGTTGTCAACAAAGCACTTAGTCAAGACTGACACACTGTACTGGGTACTGAGAAAATCATAATATATTCAGCTTGTGATTTAAAGAGAGTTTCCTTTCTTATGGTCGAGACTGTAACTTTCAAGGTTGGGTTTGTATTAAATAATGGTTTAAAGTTGTCAACAAAGCACGTAGTCAAGACTGACAAACAGTTTGTACTGGGTACTGAGAAAATCATAATATATTCACACTTATACATTTTTTCAAACTTAAAAATTATTTGTTTTAAATGATTAATTTCTCTATTGAATATAATTTATGACCATCACCGTTATTAACTTTTGTAATAAATCTTCATGATTTAAAATAAGTGTAATTTTAAAGACCTTCACTTAATTTTAAGGCCATTTCAGTGACAAATAAGAAAAAATTAAATCAAAGTGAATGTTGAAATACAATTTTCAGTTCAAATTCTCCGAGTGATGAACACTGTCGAGCTTCTATTTTCCTACACAATCTAACATTGCGCTCATTAACAACCACGCTTTGAGCGCACACTTTATTGTCGCGAAGAAAGGAGTACTGCGGTCAAGTATCCATTCACGAAACAAAATACGAAGCAATAGCTGATGAAACCGACTACATGCTAGATCTAAGACGACGTTGTAGGGAATCTTATCAGTTTTGTCACAATGTGAGACAATTTTGAATACACACGACACATCCATCCGTAGAAAGCTATGCCGTTGTGTGATGGTAGGCACATAGTGACGACTTTTCAATTTCCCGAAAACTTTTGGTGCTTTTATACAACCACAGGACTGTCAATTGCTTTCTTGCAACTAAAAGAGAAGCAAACAGTACTCGATAAATCGACCATTTCGTCCATAGGTGCTAGCTGTCTAAGTCGAGCCACAAAACCCACAAGAAATTCCAACTTTCATTTCAATTGGACACACCAATTGACGGTAAAAATTCAGTGTTCTCTTCAAAAATAAATCTCACAATATGTTTTTTTGAATAGCTCACTGAATTGTCAAAAAACTTCAAGAATTTTTTTCTTTTTCTTCAAAATTCATTTTCCAACAAAGTTTAGAAATTGCATAATTCGATTTCACCTTACCTGTCTTCCTTCGGGATTGAAAATCGAAATTATGGCATTGAAATTCAAAATTCTGGGATTTCTTGCAGGAATTCTGGATCCGAAAGTTATAATTCAAAAATAGAAGCTGAAATTCCTAGTTTTAATGTCCAAATTATAATGTAAGTGAAAGTTTCAAGTTATAAAAGCAGAAATCTAAGATTAAAAGTTAGAATTCAGTTAGAATTTTCAGTTCAAATATCGAAATTCCAAGCTAAGTCAGAATTCCGAAATCAAAATTCCAATTTCTGTGATCTAAAGTCAAAATTTTCAGTTTTAATTTCGAAATTTTCAAAGCAAGTCAGAATTTTGAGTTGGAATTCAAAGCGTAAAATTCCTCATTTCGGAATTAAAGTCAGAATTGTCAGTTTAAATATCGAAATTCCAAGCTAAGTTAAAATTCCAAACTCAAATTCCAATTTCTGTGATCTAAAGTCTAAATGTTAAAATTCCAAGGCAAGTCAGAATTTTGAGATGGAAATCAAAGATTGAAATTCCTAATTCTGGATTTGAAGTCGGAATTGTCGGTTTAAATATCGAAATTCTAAGGCAAATTGGAATTCCGAAATCAAAATTCCAATTTCTGTGACCTAAAGTCAAAATTTTCAGTTTTAATGTCAAAATTTCAAAGGCAAGTCAGAATTGTCAGTTTAAATATCGAAATTCCAAGCTAAGTTAAAATTCCAAACTCAAATTCCAATTTCTATGATCTAAAGTCTAAATGTTAAAATTCTAAGGCAAGTCAGAATTTTGAGATGGAAATCAAAGATTGAAATTCCTAATTCCGGATTTGAAGTCGGAATTGTCAGTTCAAATATCGAAATTTCAAGGCAAGTTGGAATTCCGAAATTAAAACTATGATTTCTGCGATTCAAAGTCTGAATTTTCAGTTTTAATGTCAAAATTCCAAGGTAGGTCAGAATCGAGTGGGAAATCAAAGATTGAAATTCCTAATTCCGGATTTGAAGTCGGAATGGTCACTTTAAATATCGAAATTTTAATGCAAGTTGGAGTTTCGAAATTAAATGTCAAAATTTCAGAGTAAGTCGGAATTTCTGCAACGACAGTTGAATTCCCAGTTTCAAGTTTGGAATTTGAACATAGAAATATGGAATTCTTACATTAAATGCGGAAATTCTGAGAGATTGTCTAAATTCCAAAGACTGAAATACTAAATTCTGGAATTGAAGTCAGAATTGTCAGTTAAAGTATCGAAATTCTGAAGCATAAAACTTTAAACTGGTTAAGCCCTTCTGAGCATCAAAAAGCATCGCAGGTCAAACCTGTAAGCTTCTCTTTTTGTTTCATAAGGCTGGTTGCAAAGATTTTGAAAACTTGCATATAAAACAAAAGTACACGAAAACTTTGAGTTATTTTTATACAATGTCACTTAAAATTCAATTCTTACCCCAACATTATTCAAAATATATTGAACTTATCAAAACTACAAAAAAAGAAATATATTTGTATAAATTTGCCGATACTCCAAGTGTAAAAACTTTGGTAGATCCGCTACCGAATATCTATCGACACATCCGTAATGCAAAAAAAGCTTTGCAACCACACCGTTCTATACGATCAGCTAGGATCCCAGGCATCAGAGCTGCGCCTCGGATTCGTGGGGCCTTAGCTTCGAAATACGCGATTACAACTTGGTACAATAACAAAAACTCCTGAGATAATTGGTGGGTCACTTCTGTTTACGAAAGAAGTTTTGGTAACCGCTATACTGAGATTCGGGCGGAGACAGCATGGGGAACTCCTGCTGGTAAGACGGCCCGGGGTAGTTGTCCCACCACATGGGCACCGGCGCGGGCATGGGCACATAGGGGGGCTGCACGGGGGCCACTGTCGGTCCGTAGCTCGGTATCGGCAGGGGAGGCTGCACCATCACGAAAGTGGCGGAGCGGCATGGGGGCACAGTGTGGGAGTAAGTAGGTTGTGGGGGCGCCACTGGGGAGCGCCCCCACATTATCTGCTAGCATCTCAGGCTATTCCAATGGTTCATATAATCTTGATAAGTCACTGTTATTTTTTCACTTTGATACCGAGTCAATTTAATTGTACGTCTCATTTCGCTTGATATCACCGATTTGTAACCTCCTTTCCTCAGGAGAGAGTCTATGGTTTGCAGCTGATCCCAACCTGTTGGAAAAAAATGCACAGCATGATTCAAACTTATTTATTTATTTATTTATTCACGGGGTCAAGACACATTTCACTCAATACAATTTAAAAATAGCTACACACAATATCCAATACAAGTAAAGGGCACAGAGAAGATTGGGGGGCATTGAAGCGGTTTAGGGGGGCGATGGCTAATTTCAAAATGTTTTTTTTTTGCTTTTAACACAAACTTTACCGCTCCTTTACACTTAACGCGCGTTTCCTCGTGTAACGCCATCTAGGGGACTAGACAGTAACTATTTCCTGTCCGATAGTCGTCAAACTGTACAATAGATGGCGGTAAGCTTCAATGCGAAGCGAGAAGTTTCTAGTCTCCCTTCTCGAAAGTACTAGGCCCGCCCGCTGCCTCATATAAAAGCGCTCGCGCCATCCAGCCAGTAATGTCATTCGACGATATTACAAGTAAATTTAGTTAGCGACTAGCTAGGTAAAGTGCTGTACGTGCTGTACTGTGAGTAGTGGCATTAGCAAGTTCTTAATACTCAATTCTTTACTTCGACATTTTTGAAGACAAAATTATGTCGGAAGCAAAAAAGAAAAAACGGCAGTATAGCGCGGAATATATAAAAATGGATTTATTGAAAATCCCACAAATCCATCTTCTTTGTCAAAAAACATTTTCGAATGAAGCGCTGAAACCCTCAAGGCTTCAAGATCATTTGAATGACATGCATTCAGATAAAAAAGACAAAAGTGTGACTTATTAAATGACAGATTATTTAATCAGCTTTGTGTTGCTAATGATGAAGATTTCAACCGATTGCTGTTTCACACAGAAGTGCAGTTATCAAGAGGTAACTGTCTGAATCGATTTTACAATCTATTTGACTCTGTAATAGAGTTCTTGGAAAACAAAGACAAAAAATTGCACGACAACCTCATCACTTCAAAGAATTATATTCCGTACTCGACAGACCTGTATAAATTATTTAATGATGTCAATCAGTATCTTTCAACCACGACGACTTGCTTGTTCACTGCCAACATTTGGAGAACCTCACAGCGATTTCGCAGAACGATTGTGGGACATTTTAAAATTTGAAATACCGGACTGGATGTTGGATCCTTTTTCAAATGTCAACACAGCAGAATCATCCCAGCTGGAAGAAGAACTCATAGAACTGATAACGAACGATACCCTCATCAGAAAGTCTCATTCTCACATGACACATAATTTAATTATCAAAATAATGACTGTCATTGTGATTGTCAAGATGTAGTAAAGTAAAAAAAAATGGGGGGCGCTAGAAAATAATTAATTGTCGAAGTGGGCGGTAGACAAAATAAGTTTGAAAACCTCTGCTATAGGGTGTACAATATTTTTCCTTAGTCCATCTTTGGCTACTAACACAAACAAACTGGACGTTAGCCAACTCTTAAGAGCATGCCACGTATAATTGTCCGTGTGCTCAAATTCAAGCCACAAACGGACATTGTTTGGCCTTGGGACTTATTAATAGTCATTGCAAATGCCAATTAATTAGATATTGCAAACGTTCAAAATGAATTGGCACATCTGTAGGTATAATAGGAGTTCATAGTTTTGATATATTTTCACCTCGGAACTTGCCATTCAAAATGCTGGCTTCGACAACGTGTTTCATTATTTTTTGGTGACTAATCGCGTGCTGTTGCACAGCCGAGGTGGATTCAAGTTACGGAGCGATACAACCTTCAGTTGTCAATTATGCCGTGATATTCCTGGCAAATTCAATGAGAATATACATATAAAATTTCATAAATATCGGTTAAGTCGTTTTCGAGGAGTATGGCAACTAACACCGCGACACGAGAATATTATATATTAGTTATCAGATATAAAACTAGTCAACTTGTAAAAATATAACCAATAATCAAACACATATATTAGAAACTACATATCCCACCCTGAATCAAGCTGCCTCTGAAACTGAGACTCTCATGCAGAAGTAAAGAAATCGAGATCCGGTTATTTGCCGCTCTCATAGTTCGTGGTAGAAAGAAATAAAAGTACTGATTTGTTCTACGGTGTGATTGAGAAAATGTTGTATTTCTAGTAAATTTAGGAGAGGCTGAAAGTCCGATCTTCGATAAGAATGAAGGACAATGAACAATTCCATTAATCATTAAAAAAAAATATCTTTCAGTCTTTAGAATCCAGACTGTTATGGAGTGTTCCAAGATCTATGAGGGAATGTACTTGAGGATAGTTATATATGTAGTTGTCAGGAGAAATTCTGGTTTTAAATGCGACCAATCTTAGGAATTTTCTCCGAATTTGTTCTACGATATGGATGTAGCGTGCATATGATAGATTCCATACAAGATGAGATCTTACCAGAGAGCAGTATAGAGTTTTTAAGCATTTGATATCAGTGAAATCTGAGATACATCTTCTTAGGAAGGCTAGCATTTTGAGAGACTTATCAACAAATGCTGACATGTGGGTCTGAAAGACAATAATATTCATGACCCAAATGGTGGTATCGGAAGCAACATTAACCACAATATTGAGAAACTCGAGGCCAAAAGAATCATATTTCGTTTCTCATACTGCTTACTCAAACCTCGAATTTAAAAAATTTTGCAAGTAAAGTCAGAGTTTTGAGTTTCTGCTTCACCCACAATAATAATACTCTTCAGATCTCTCGCCAACCTACTATCATCTTTTCGAGCACTTCAATAACTTTCTCACCAGTAGAAGCTTCGCCAATCGGGACCAGAGGAAAACGGCCTTCGTCATCTTCATCGAATCCCGAGCATACAATTTTTATGCTGACGCAATTATTTGGCTTGTGTTACGTTAGCAAAGATGTACTGATTAAATGGTGCTAATTTCAATTTATTTGAATAAATGCCAAACTTCTCTTATTTTGGCCTCTCAAGCCGAATCATTATCATCATTTTTATTAATTATTTCATGATTAACATTAACACATACCTGTATGTATGTTTGTTTGTAATTCTCAAGCTCGGGATCTGTATTTGACACAATTATAGACATTATTGCTTGATCTATTCGCGGGCAGATGGCGCTGTACGTCAAGCACAATACGTCAACAATACTAATATTTTTTGTTGTTAATGTTTTAAGCTTATTTGAAAATATATTTTTAACTTTCTGTTCGATGTTCTTTGAAAGCGTGTTTTTTAGTTGGGTATTAATGCAAAACTAGTGCAATAATATATGAGATGAACTCCAATATACCTTTATAATTTATAGGAGTTTGAGAATGTTGGAAAGAAACATTTAAATATTTTACATAATTTGACTTGTCGTTAATTTGAATATTTATTGTTGCCCTTCAGCACTTTTATGGTATAAGATAGCTAAGCCACTATTTGAAACTGAAATGAAGTCATCACAGCTGATTCAGAGATTTTATTTGTTAACAGTTTAAAAACAAACCTGAGTAATGATTGACCTTCACTGAGGTCAGTCATCACGCTAATTTGCAATTCCACAATGGTAACAACAAAATGTTTATATGGAAAACAAACAAATCATGATCAATATCCATAAAAAGGGGTTTTCACCCGATAGTTACTCAATAAGTTAATGTGGGTTTTGATTGAACATGTGGAAAACTACAAAATATGTACAACTTCTCATTAATATAAAGATATATGTTCATTTAGGAAATATTGAGACGATTAGAATTAGAATTTAATTCGTCAATTGAAACTATTTCAATCTACAAACTTATACTTCTGAGTTATGTTGATTAAAATACTTTTAGAAGCACAATTCATACCTTTCAATCTGTCAATCGAGACATTTTAATCTATCAATTGGTACTTACAAATGCAAATGGATACCTCCTGACCTGCATAGTGAAACTTTTCAATATGTCAACGGATTCCTTAAAATGTCATTGATATTTTTGAATCTGTCGATTAACACTTGTATTGCTCTCAACATATTACATGTACAAATGATCCATCGCAAATAAAACAATTATTTTACAAACTTTAACTTTTCAATCTGTTAGTTGACACTATTTCAATATATTGATTGACACTTTTGAATCTGTTGATTGACACTTTTCTCTCTGTCAATTGACACTTTTCAATCTGTCAATAAGCATCTGCCGAATGGTACTTTCAATAAACTCTTGTAAACGATTTGTTGCAAAAATTCAATCAACCTAAGAACTGTTAATTTACACTGTTCAGTCCATCATTTGACACTATTTCAATCTGGCATTTGATACCTTTCAATTTGTCAATCTACATCTTTCAATCTGTCAATTGATACCCTTCAGTCTATCAATTGACACTTTTTAATCTCAGTTGACACTAGAATGTTATTGACGTATTGAATGTTTGTAAGTTGATATATGATGATCTGAACATAAACACAGTTTGAGATGTCAATCGACACTCTTTAATACACCAACTATTACTTTCAAAAACTGTCAATTGACACTTTTTAATCAATCATTTAATCTGGTGAATGATCTTTTAATTTGTCAATCTATATCTATCAATCTCTACATCTTTTTCTCTCAGTCGACATCGAAATGTTAATTGGCATTTTGATTATTTGCAAATTGATACTCAATGATCTGATTATTGACACGGTTTGAAATGTCAATCGACACTCTTTAACATACCGACTGAAACATTTAAATCTGTCAATTGACGCTTCTGATATATGTTAATTTTAATTTTTGTCAATGGAGTTGTAAAAGAACTACAGGAATACAACGAAAACAAAGTAATTGAAACAAAAATACCTTACCTTGTTCAGAGGCCACTTCAGGCAGGTACGTAGCAGTTCTTTTGTTTCCCTTCTCATTGACGAATTCGATTCTTATGCCGTGAACTCCAACCTGCCAGTCCAGGTAGTCGTCCCCGTCTTCAAAATGTCTCAGAATCGAAACCGACACACTCAACTTGGGAAATTCGTCGCGAGTGATTGGACTGAATCTGGAGTCTTTGAAAGCACTTGTGATGGCATATTCTCTGAGTCCGGACTGCAGATTCATGGCATTGAAGGTACCTATGCACCCTCTGAGTCTCTTGTCCTTGCCTATTTTCCATGTTACAAATAAAGGACTGCGAAAGTATCAAAAAGTATGATCATTTTCGGTACACTAGATTTTAAATTTTTTCTCACATAAAATATGTAATGCAATATTTTAAAACAGGATACAAAATCAAATTTGAGGTAACAAAAGTTTTATATAGAAAAGAAATGTTCAGAAGGATTTTTATATGTAGAAGTTGAAGAACATAAACTTCAACAAAATTATTTTAAATAAACATGACCACAGAACAGAAACGTATTTTTTTAGGATTATCAAAATATGCACTCACAAATAAAATTCACAGAACAATATCATTGTTCTACCACAGTTCTACAAAAAATGTATCATTTTATCTTCCAGTGTTCTGTGATTCTGTGAGTAAAAAAATTGTTCGTTTTAACCTCAAAAAATGTCCCCAACATTTTGACAAATCATGAACAAATAAAGAGACAATAATTTTCGATTCACCCCCCAAGACCAATACTGATTTTTTTTTTAATTCGTTTCTCACCAAGCAGAGTTTGATCCCAGACTAGTTAATTCTCTGTTTGGTGAAACCCTCTTTGAGAAGAGACTTTTGTGAGAGCAGTGTATATTTGTGAATTCATTTTTTTCACTGCATATTCAATTTGGTGATTCCCTTTCAAATTACAATACCACAATTATCAAGGTATTTTATTTTGTTCTTTAATACTGTTGCATTTGTTATCTTCAGGCATGAAAATGGTCTTAGAATTTTATTGCAAAACAAAGAGACAATCCAAGTGAAACTTTTTTCTTTCAATTCATTCAGGTTGGTCGGATTTTCTACTTGATGGATTACAGTGTCGTCGGCAAAGCTAACTATATTTAGAAATAAACGTATTCATGAAGCAAAACCTCGCGAAAACAAAGGAAAGTTATCTAAACAGTTGAATGACCTTCTCGGTACATATTCAGTACTGTTGACCTCCCAGTAATTGCGACCCAGAGCGCAGTCTAAATAATTCAACGGGGTACTTACTATGCATCGTTACTGAAAGATGGTGTTTTCGGAGGGGCTAGGTTATACAAATGGCAATAGAGGACGTCGAAACAGAAGAAGCACATATCTGGTAGAGCGACCATTCCCGTCCCGTTGCTCATCCCATTCGAAACAGACGTCCCGTTACATGACGGTATGCTGGATGAATTATTGAGCTTTTGTTTCTTTGTACCACAACATCCAGCAGCCATCGCACTTCCAACAAACAGCTGACTGCCTCTTGCCACCAACAAACAGAACGAACTAAGCTCGAAACTCGGCCTATTTGCTAGAGCACGGAAGCCTAAGAAATTACAGAACTAGGACAAAGTTCAGGGTGGTATTTTACTGTTCCGAGGAGTCAGAACGTTCCTTGTTTCGTGGGTAGGTGAAATGACTGATCAAAATTTTGTCCTTTTTTTCAACCCAATAATAAATAGCAGGCAATATCACCGGAAATGATTAATTTCTTATCGAGAAATCAATTTTCCATCTTCGTCTGATATTGAAGGAAGAACCCCTGAGGGGAAAAGCCGAAATCATCCAATTAGTAAGGACAATAGATTGTACGACATCTATTTTTTTAAATTTAAACGTCAAACTCAGGGAAAATATCCAATAATGGTGTGAGAAACCGCAACAAACATTAGTTGTTCCATTTAAGCATTGCAATTATCTCTTCTCATCACAGTGATTAGTGAATCTGAAGGATATTGGTATCATAAATGAGTTCTGTTTGGGCTCTGGTCGATCCCATAGATGACGTCTTCGTCAGAGGAGATGTCATGACCTTCACTTACGTCTTTTTATGTTTCAGTACCTCTCCACATGTTGATTATCGCACCAGTGTAACTGTCGGATCAACCAATTACCGTTCAATGCTTATGTCTGGGTGTTTTTTCTTGTACATGAAATCATCATAATGATTATTTCGACAACAAAAAATATGTTGTTTTTGTTAATTTGTCGTGTTTACCGTTTGTCATCTCATTTTTTGCAAAATTGTTGATTATTACTTTTTTAATTTTCTCTCTAGTACTGTTTCCAAAGAATGTTGGCAACATTTTTTGTAACATAACCTACTATTTTTCATTTTGTGACAGTTCACGTCATAACAATAGCAAGTTATAGTTTAAATGGAGTGATTTTTATTATTGATTAACAGAATAAATGATTACTAATTTCTAGGCATAATGGTAAGGCAAAAAACTAAGTATTTTTGTAGGTTTGAGAGTTTTTCATCATTAATTCCGTTATTTAAAAGGGGTTTCAGTATTATGCAAAATGGATTTGAAAACTGATGGGTTTTGCCTTCTTTAGAGTCCCAGAGTCGCATTTTAAGTAATATACATGAGGAAGAATGAAACAAAGTAGAAAAGTTTTCTCCTCTGTTATTTATTACAGTTATTCAAACCAGTCAATTACTCTAATTTACTTCTAGAAATTATGATCATATATCAGTGATACATGTATTTCTAGGATATAAGTTCATTTTCTAGCGAAGATTTTGATACCAAGGCTTGGATAAATGACATCTTGAAAAATGCTGATAAGCAAAAAGAAGTAAGTAAGATTTGTATAATTTTCATTCTTCCACATATGAGTTACCTTTCCTCTTCATTTTCAGAGTAGTTTTACAATGTCTCTGGTAATGAAGCTACAACTGTATGTGCAACAAGTTAACAGTGCCTTAGAAGACACCAGTCAGGACGTTTTAGCTTCCTTACCTAAAATTATGAGGGATTCAAAGAACTTGCAACAAGAAGCAGTTTTACTGAAAGAAAAAATGGCCGTAGTTAGAGCAGAGATAGAGAAAATCGAACAGGAGACAGGAAAGTCCATAGAATCCATTGCAAAGTTGGATTCCATGAAAACTAAGTTGATTTTAGCCAAGCAAGGGCTCCACGAAAGTGATAACTGGACACTTCTTGGTAATTTCTATACAATTTGTTGTAACTACAAAAACTCAATTTTTCCTGAGATATTCGTTTTAAATAGAAATCAAGTAATAAGTACGGCTCAAGTAATATTTCTTTTTCGTATTTTACAGTGAATGATTTAGAAGAAGTTTTCGACTCTAGAAACGTTGAAAATATATCCAACAAAATATTAGGTATGCAGAGTTCTCTCAAACTGCTAGTGAACGTAGCAGACTATGAGGACCGTAAGCTCCAACTAGAAGGTTTGAAAAATAGGTTGGAGGCTATCGCTAGCCCGGAGATAGTGCAGGCCTTCAACTCTCATAATACAGGTGAGTAAAACACGGTTTAGAGGATACAATTTTGTATGCATCATATCTCAAATTTTTCGAAACTACAATTTTGTGCTAAATTACTTTATTGATAAAGATCAGAACGTGGCTATGAGCTATTTCTCTTGTTTAAGAGTGTAAAGCTATGAAATACATTCCTAAAGGGGCTGCTGAGTATAATAACTTCAATTACATTAACTGTCTATTAAAATGTCAAAATAAGAGCCGTTACGGCAGTTTTCAGGCCTCTGAAATGTTTTTGACAACTCGATTGCCAAGTTCAGAATTCAATAATGATAATGATGCTAAATATCCATAACTAGAGGAACTTTTGCTGCAGAACAATCGCAAATGTACGTGAGGATATTCACGTCCATTGGGAGGCTGCCGCAATTGTTAAAATACTACCAGAAATGCCAGAAAGATATTTTGCTGAAGAAATGGAGAAACCAGCTAGAGATCGAACAGGATGAAACCACATTGCAGTGGATCCATAATTACTACAATGAACTTCTATCGAACTGGTACACTCAGTATAGGTGGTTCAATCAAGTGTTTGTTAGCGAGTCAGCGTCCCAGTCTTTGATAGACATTTACACAGATGTCCTCTCGTCGTTGGATCCCAGTTTGAACGAATGCATCGATGCTGCTTTGAAGCAGGTTCCGGATAAGTTGAGTTTCTTGTTGGAAATCAAGCAAGCGGCAACTCAGTTCAGAGATAGCTTGGTAAACGTAATCAGTCAGTCAGTACAAGGTATGTCATAATGATAGTAATCATGATTTTTTTATATTTTTATTTTGATTTATAAAAACCTTGTACAATATTCCGTGAATTACTATGCGCCTAGGTGCCCCCTTTACATCAGAAGAGGTTTTCCTATAGTAATTTTGAAATTAAAATCAAACATATACTTACCAAGTCTGGATAGTAATTCTGTGTTAAGGAAAAAGCTTTCCTTTCTCAAAATTACTATCCGAGAATATATAGAAAGGAAGAGGCAATGAACATCAGTAAAATCTCGCTACCTGTCTTTAATTGTACACAGATTCCAGCATTGTGAATTTCAACCGTTTGCAGGTTCAGAAAAATGTTTCATCATTTCCTTACCGTAGTTGGGTGGTATAATCTGCGAGCATAGTGAATGTTCCATGTATACAACCTCAATCATATAAATGAGAAAGAGAATTGGGCCAAGTATGGGTCCTTGGGGTAGCCCAATGAAATTTTGAAAGATCTAAGACACAATGCTTCAATTTGTCGACCTTATTTCGGTTTGAAAGATAACCTTCAATCCACAAAACTATACTTTTCCAGCGAAACCAAATCCAGTCCAGATCTTCAAACTGCAAAAGGCCATATTCAGTCATTTGGTGACGTACGTAAAGAAGTACTCTTCCTACGAGCAAGCCTACTTGAACAAGCAACTGTCATCGCTCGACTGCATGAAAGACGAACTTCCCGATACCATCCAAGCCCTAGGGCTCAGCATTCCTTCCGTCGTGGACATGTGCAGAGCGGCGAAGAAACGCTGTCAAGACATAACGGAAAACTGTGGGTACTGCGGCCTGCTGCTGGCGTTGAGATCGTTCCTGATGGGTTATGCTGATCTTTATAGAGTGGCTCTCAGGCAAATCGACAGGAACAGGAAGTCGGAGGAAGACTGGAACGTCTTCCAGCTCTGTATGTCGTTGCTGCAGAACAGCGGAGAGGTTTGTTATATCTTTTAATCTAAGTTTTTGTATGTAATTCATGAGTTTTCACGTTTAACTGTAGATTTTCAAGAAATATTTGGGGTTAGTGTGTGTCTGGAAGTTCTAGATATGAAGAATGTCGATCTCTCCTTTTTTTAGACATCTCTCAAGTGGAATGGGGAATGTTCCTCAATTTGGGTTATTACAGCAAATGCAAGTTTGAACAAAATAAAGTTGAGTTTAATTCATGAGTTTTTCAAATTCACTTCGAAATTCATGTTTCATCAAATTGATGTTTCAAATGTTGGGTTTTAGTTTTTAAAGTAATTTGTTTCTAATTCACATATTGGCAACAGCGCTTATATCAAGTTGAAATAATTCATACGTACCTAGATATTCTACTTTAAAAAAGGAAAATTATCATTATAAATCAACAATTGAGGCAAAATATAAATTATAGTTCAATACCACCTCCACAAGCCACATAAACAACAGTTGTTATGTTATTTATTTATATAGAGGAAGATAGGTTAGGTGCACAAAATGTCATATGTCACAGAATGTCTCGGAACTCGGAACACAAGAAAACAGAACAGCACGCCTCTGAAATATGTCATCTTTGTTTGTCTTATACAGGTAACAGATTCATTGTCCTTTATTAGATATAACAGATGTTGCCAAATGGTGAAATAGAAACGAATCTCTTTAAATGTTGAATGCATTATTTCAATCCTCTTTTTTAGGTATTTAAATAATTTTTTAAAGAAAAAGGTTGAAATGATAGGTTTAAAATTCGTTGTTTTTGAGCTCTTTCATGAAAACTACTTGATTTTCATCAGGAGGAACATTCCCCATTGTTTGACCTGAGCCTGATGATGGATTCATTATGATAGCGGCTACTATAAAATTATTCATGTTATTTTAGTATATTTCATAAGATTTTGAAGATGAAGAATTACAGAACATCGTATACGGGGGGTGCGTGAAACGTCAAAATGGAGGCAAGCACAGTAATATTGCGATCTGAATATTAAAAATCGAATACAATACTTATAGAAAACGTCAGAGTAGGAAAAACAACAATAATAATGATAATATATCAAACTTAAATCGGAGCTATACCAGTAAAATAGAAATAAAATGAGTATGTTTTAAAAAAGGTCATCCTGGAGCTGCAGCACCTCGAGAAAGACCTGACCCTGCAAGTACTCGAGCTGAACCGACAAGAGACGGCGCAATACAAAAGTTTGCTGTTGGAGTCTTCAGACCTCAGAGAGTTCGAGTCTCTGGTGAGATGCGTGACGGAGGGTACGCAGTTATCCCTCCTGGATTCAGTGACGACCGAGCTGCAGAAACTCTGCGCCGATATTCACCACACCACTTACCTAGTGGTCTTTGCTCCGATTTCTGAGCACTTGGACGTGGTGCAGTCCGCGCAGACTTGGAATCAGTTCGACAGTTCCGGCATCCATAACAGCGACTTACCGGACTATAGTTTTAGTCCTCAGGAGTATATTACGCAGGTGAGTGTATAATTGCAGAAAGAATATTTCTTTTGAACGCCCATTCTGTGCAATAACTTGCTGTTATCTGAATGGTCATTATGAACCTAGTAGATCGTTTATGATTTTTTTCCAGATCGGCCAGTATTTGATGATTCTACCCCAGCATTTGGAACCTTTCTTGTTCAAGGATAATCCGGCTCTGTCGTGCGCTCTGAAAGCCGCAGAGCAAGAGTACAGCAACGTTTCTGAAGAAGAAGGAGCCCTGGCCCACATTTTTTTGACCATCGTAGCCCGAGGGACTTGCCAAGTTTTCTGCGATCGAATTCTGTCTATCTGCGAGTTGAGTCAAGGCGCCAGTAGACAACTTGCCCACGATATTAGTGAGTTGAAAACGAATACAAATATTGGGGAAACTTTCAGAGGAAGGGAGAAAGCATATAATTTCAAAATCAACTCTTTACAGAGATGTCTAGATCATGCATCACTTTCTATCTCTCTCTGCGGCTTTCACTCCAAAGTCATATGAAATACCTATTCAATGCAACAATATAATTTTGATTATTGACTTTGGGAAGTCGTTGAAATATCTGTATCCTCAGAGATCCATAATTTCTTTATTTTTCAGGCTACCTTCAGAACATTTTTGAGGAATTGGGGTTGTCGTTAAGCGAGAACCTTCAGCACTTGTCTGCAAGTTATTTACACAGAAAACCTACAAACTAAGACAACTCAGGAGTCCACAGCTTGAACGTTCTATCATACGAACTAGTGGCTATATACTGATCATCCGGAGAAATATCCACAGACATAATCTTCCCGTCGTGGCCTGAAAGAGTTTTCAAAGGCTGCCACGTCCTGTTCATCCACAGCTTGACCGTGTTATCGTAGGACGCTGTGGCCAGGTAGCTGCCGTGTTCCGGCTGGAATTTCACTTCGGAAATGAGGTTTGTGTGAGCGGGAATGGTGTAAAGGATGGACCTTTTGCGGAGGTCCCAAATTTTGCATGAGTTGTCCTCGCTGGCAGTGGCTATCTGGAATCCGTTAGATGAAAAGTCGATGCCCAAGATACTCTTCAGGTGACCTTCCATGAACATTATGCACCTTCCGGTGCGCAAGTCCCAAACCCTGCCGAACGCGTCCAACCCCCTGTGGAAAAGAGATATTCATTTATTCGCCTCAATGGAAAAGCCTCGCTTGCTTTCAATAGTGTTTTTCATCCATGATAATAATTGAATAATAAGACATTATTATTATTAAAAAGCTGTCATATACAGCTCGAAATACCCCTTCACTTACCCTGTAGCACAAACAGACCCATCAGCCTGGAACGATATGCAGTACACTGGCTTGACGTGCCCTTCTTGATGGAGTACTTCGGTGCACTGTTCCAGATCCCACAAACGCCACGAATTATCATAACAGCAAGTTCCCAGAAACCTTCCCGAAGGATGGAACTTCAGCCTTGATACCCTGTGAGGCATGTGACCTTCGATATCAGCAATGGGTTCATGGCTGAAAGCAAATACAAGCTGAATATAAACAGGTATATATCTCACTTTCTCTACCTATATCTCTCTATCTATCTATATAGATAGAGCAACATAAATGTATAGAGAATGAGAGATATATAGATAGAGAAAAGAGAGATAGTTTGGTAAGAAATAGATAGAGAGATAGACAAAGAGAGTTGTAGAAAAGGGGATGGAGAAATTGTCTAAATCTCTCATTCTCGAACTATATATCTCTCTCTATCTATATATCTCCCTTTCTCTATCTATCTATATAGACAGAGCAATGTAAAATCTCTCTCTATATATCTCTGTCTATCCCTTTCACTCTCTTTCTCTACCTATCTCTTTCTCTATCTATCCCATTTTCTACCTATCTCTTTCTCAATGTACGAGTCTTTAGAACAATAATTTACCTTGTGAAATCCCATAGTTTGACAGATCCATCTACTGCGCAAGAAGCCATATTGCAAATTGTATCTTCTTGACTTATGGTCGCCTTCGGATGGAAAACGATAGCCCCAACGTTGCATTTGTGGCCTTGTAGAGTTTGTTTTAATTCACAGTCGGGAACTGACCAAACTTTACAGAATCCAGACCTGGAAGAGATCAAAAATGTTTATACTGGGTGTCCCAACTTCATGAAATATCTATTTTTGATAAGGCAGTTTTTGTCTGAAAGTAATACACATCAATATTACGAAAATAGTTCAACAGAATATAGTTGAAGTAGTTTCTATTGGTTGTTTCTGGAGTCCCTCCAATCTAGGGACCTCACTTTTATATCGTTTGAATGTTTGCGGCTTGAATAATCTAACAGACTGATTACAGATTTCTACACATCTACTGCACATCTGGAGGGATGGGCTTCTCACCGGCCATGACTCACTCTAGATGTAAAACTATAAGGTATACAATACAAACTCTTTGAGTTCCGTATGTAAGGTCAAAGTTAGAATATGGAATCCTCACTATGTTTCACACATTAATAGGATCAAAAACATACAGAAAAGCAACTAAACATACCATGACGCCGTAGCTAATAGCTTCGAGTTGGGGCTGAACTGGCAATAAGATACGGGTCTAGTATCTCCGATCTGACTGGAATGAATCGACATGGCCTGAATTTTCTTCTGCATTTCTTGAGTTCTCGCTGTCTTTGTCGCAGCAGGTAAATCTGCCAATCTTGTGGCCTCCTCCAACCTCTCTTTTGCTCTTGGTAAGGAGTATCGAGTTATCCATAATCTAGCCACCCGCAAAGAATCCGGACCTTCGTGATACCAAGTAGTCTCTTGGTCTTTCTCGAACAGCTTCCTTTCTTCTTCTGCCTCTCTTTTTATCACAGCATCTTCACCAGTTCTGTAAATTGAAACTTAGATCAAACCCATGGACTATAAATGAGTGCAATGTGATACATATTATGTTGTTTTTTAGAAGCCATGGCAAACTTCTACTTGAATTTCACTAGCACTCAATACAATTCTAGAAATTTGTGAATGTTTTCCATAATTGCAGTAAATAGATAGATAAGTTTTTAACAAAATAAGAAAGCCATTCACTGTACACTACTATAACCAAATGAAACCCTTACCTGCTTAGAATATCTCGCAATCGCGATCTTCTATCAGCTGGTCCTTCTCCAAATAAACAAATGGGTTCTCCCAATTGTCTGAGGTTTCTCTTCACCTCGGCATCATCAGTCGATACGTTAATTGATCTTGCCTTTCGTCTTCTCTCGAATTCTTCCAGTAGGGCTTGTTTGTCCCTTGACATAGCATCTTCCAGTTCCATGTATTCTGTTTCAGAAAGTAATTAAAATTATAAACGTTTCCCTACATAACACATATATTTGCAAAAGAATTAACATTACCTGGAGCATCCTGTGTTTGAGATGCAGATGGTAACACAGGATCTGAATCATTACTTCCTTCATTTTGAACGTCAAGTCTGCTCTTTTCAGATTCTTCTAATGAACCGTAATGAATTGTTTTGATTTTTTTAGTATAAGGTACCTCTTCGTCGTCAGACATTTTCAAGAATCACTTTATTAAGAAACTAATAATAAATATTTACAGAAGCACAGTACAGCTAAAAAGACTAACCTTAAACCGGTTTAAGGTTATGTCGATGTTACTAACTCACAAGCACAGAACACCCTATCTATAGATCTATAGATAGGGTGTTCTGTGTCACAAGTTGCCCCAGACAATGCTGCCACCCTGAGTTTTTTTTCATACATTTTTTGTTCATCTAAAAAACACTTCATAAATGGCCGTAAACATGAACCTTTGCGGTTTTTTACATACATAGCCCCCTTTCGTGGTTATCCGAACCACCCCAGGCTGGATACCGGCTGGTTAGTCTATATACAAAGCTAAGGTCTTTAGCATTCTACTGTGCCTGCATGAATGTAAAGGCCTTACATGTATGTTTTTCTAGCCCCACCTATGAAGACTATCATCTCAGAAAAACGTGATAAACTGTCGTCATAGGTTGTTGGAATTGTGTGTGAAAGGTTAGAGTAAACTTGACTTTTTGGTTGTGTACTAAATCCTCAAAAAACAATTAGCCATATTCACGTAAAAATGGTGGTTCATTTTTCAGGAATTTCTTTATTAACAACACTTAGATTCATATATGACATATAATATTGAGAAGAAGATTTAGAAGGCGTTTTATGATTGGCAACACTGATATTTGACATATATTATCAAGAAAAATACTGTTTTCAAAACAGGCATTGTTCCCAATACCAGAAATGCAACACTCTTCTCGGCGCCCGCTTCATCTACCAAATTGGCGTCTTAAGTCAATGAAGTAGACTTACTTATTTTCCTGAAGATGCCAACTTGCGCGTCGGGAAAAGTGTTGCAGTTCTGTGATGTGAAAAATACTTTTTTCATTCATTCGACCGCCTCTAATTGTTCACTTTACAAGATGTCAATTTTTTGGGATTGAGAAAGATGGATTAATTGCAATAGAAACCTATTTTTTGAGATAGAAGTTGTTGTTTGTTTACTATTATTTCAAAACAAGTTGTTTGTGTCTAATAGAAAAGATATTCTTCATCTAATCATAGTATATAATCTTCATACTATGATCTAATATATGAAACTGGTATAAACCTGGAAGCTTATCTAAAAAAACAAAGTTCATTCATGTCATTGTTCATGTAGTCAGCGACCTCTAGATGTCGGATACCGAAACATTAGCAATGCCAATGAATTCTTTCCCATTTTTTTATAGAATTTTAACTGCACAAACTCGTTTTTCTATCTCTCTTCACGGGTTTTTTTCGAAAAAACCAAAGAGAGAGATAGCCCTCTCGTTTCATTTACCAAATTACTTTCTTTTCCAAATTAGAACAAACCGAGTAAGGGAATAATTAAAATTTGAGTTAAGACTGTCAAGAGGCCCCTAATTTCTAAAGGGTTCGGTTTTCGTTCTCAAATAATTTCTGCTTGGCCCTGAAAATCTCGGAATGCGATCGTTGAACTTGAAACTTGGCCTATGTATAGATTTTCTCTTTCTATTTCTTTTCACAGGTTCTGAAAAATATCTCGAGTTCGTAAAAATAAATATGAAGAAAGGCCCAATTATCGTCGGTACAGTCTGCGTTGTCAGTACAAATTTTGACCCCATTTTGAGTTTACGTTACCATCTATTCGATGCCGTTAGCTTAGTCTAAAAGACTGTCAGTTTCTTGGAAGTTGCGGCCGTCTTCCGCGTCTGCCGTGTGTTAGATTGGGAAATGTAGGAAATATTGGAAATTTTTTGAGTGTATTTTTTCGAGACGAACTGGTATTGATTTGCCTCAAAGGCTTGGCCCGGCAAATATACAGACTATACATGGTTTATAGGGGTCTTACGTGGTTTGTATTGGCTCACTGACTCATAAAAGACCGAGAGACACATTTTTTATTGGAATTTTCCAAATGACTGAACATTTACATACGCGTATCCAAATTTTGAGAAAAGGTCATCGGAAGTTTGGAGTTGTTTTGTTGCGAAAAGTGACGAGCCGAGTGTTATGTGACAATCTAACAGTGTTTTGAAAACAAGATGAAGATCTAAGAAAATCCGAAGAGTTCAAGTGGTATCGATTTTTTTGGTATTTTGAGGTTGTTTTGAAGGTGATTCGAATTTTAAGTGAAACGCGTTTGTCAAGCCTGTAAATATATGAATAGTTGAGCTATATTTTTCCAACATAACCAAGAAAACATTTCAAAATGCTGCCCCAACAGTATTGTTTGAGATGGAGATACCACCATTCCAACCTGCAAAGTATGTTTTCTCAGCTTTTGGAACGTGAAGCATTCTGTGATGTTACTTTAGCGTGCGAAGGAAGGACAATCAAGGCCCACAAAATAGTCCTCTCTGCCTGCAGTACCTATTTTGAAACTATACTTTCCCAGTACGAAGAGAAGGACCCCATACTCATCATGAAGGATGTAAAATACGTAGATATCAAATGTTTAGTAGAGTTTATGTACAAAGGAGAAATTAATGTAGAACATGTAAGTACTTTAGCTCTCGTTGTAGTTGGAATTTAAGCGGGATCAAATAATGGGTTTGGGAGGTTCGCCTTGAAATTCGAAACCACACAGGGATGTCTCATACTTTCACTGTGAGTTTAGTGATACAACAACGTTATTCAGCAAAACCATTGCTCTTTGGTGAATTTACAACCTCTGTTTTCCAAAACAATTAACTATTTACTTACTACTACCAAGAAGACTATTGAACAGTAAAATTACAAAAAACCAGTGTGTTCGTGTAGTTGAGATAACTGTACGATAATAATAATAATAAATTTTCTCAAGAGTTCATTTGTTGACAACATTTGAACAGTACAATTGAAAAGGTAGTATTTTTCAGGAGAAATTAGTTTTTGAAAAAGAAAACCTAGTGGCTCTTTAGTTTTCCACCATTATATAGAAAAGTGGGAATCTTCATCTTCACTCAGTGGTGTAGATCATGCATAGAAGTTCATTTTAGATAAAAACTGTAGCAAAATCTTTGTTAAATAGGTACTTTCAGATATATGAACATTGAGACTACGAACATTCGTAACGGCATTGAAAGATGTTGTACACAGAAACACTACAAAACAAAATGCATGAAAGAGTACTTATTCGAAAACTTTCAATCTCTGGGTGTACTTCTCGAAAGTTTTGAGTGAAAACACCAATCAGCACCTTTCCAAAAGAGACTTTCAAAGTCATTGAAAAGATGGGACACCCTGTAACAAAATTCAATTTTCAAAATGGATTTGTTTTCCAGTGTCATCTCGCAACTTTATTAAAAACGGCTGAGGAACTCAGGATAAAGGGGCTGGCCGAAGTTTCTTGGCGGGATGAAGAGCAACCGTCGAATGCAGATTCGAATTCTAATGGTGTTCAGAATGCAATTCCTCAAGTTCAAGCAGTCATGCCCCACAGGTAATCTCTTGAAACATTCAGTTTTCTTTTAACAATTCTTGTATAAGTGCCAAGTTGGCGATGTTGGAGACTAATGCTTGCATGCTTCAAAAGATCTGGCTGTTGTTCTTAATCACAAATTATCTTGGCATTTCCTTTTGCATATAGTTAGAAAAGTCCTAGAGTTGTGATGTACAAGTGGGTAATTCATGAAACGGGAGTCAGCTATAGTTTTTTTTTGTTGACATCAATCTCTGTTATGACCTGTAACACAGTCAAATTTGCAGAACTCTACAGTTTTTATTCGTAATGCCCATACCAGGCTTACAGTAGTCAACTTCCAAACTCGCAAGGATAGGCGTAAACTTACCATGATATATTAAACAGTCTGATGTCAGTGTCAGAACCCCCTGTTAAGGTTTTTTATATTCAAAATCATCGAAACAATTATGGAAATACTGCTTTCACTACAAGATTATAAAGAAACTTTACTGACATCATACATTTGAATTTTGACCAGTTCAAAAAGCAAGCTATTCTTAAAATCAATTACTTACGATATTCTGCTGATTTTAATTTGTTTCTATTTTGTTTTGTGCTTGTTTTTCTTTTTTTATATTCTCTTTTTTTTTAGATGCAATATAGGAATTGCAGCTTTAATAACTTCTAATTATTATATGCGAGCGCTTTCGCTAGCAGGCTGAACTATCATCTTCATGGCTCTACTCAAACTAAACGTTTTATCTTCTTGTTTGTTCTTTTATACGGTTATAACGCCTCAGTTTAGGCATTTGTCCTCTCCTGTCATCCGGATGTCTCTTTAAATTTGCCTGTATTTGGTATTTGGGTAAATATATCATTTATATGGATTACAAAAAGGAATGGACCCAAGTTGGATCCCTGAGGTATTCCGTTATTCATAGACCTTTCATCTGATAAATTACCATTTACGTATACTGCCTGCTTTCTAGATGAGAGATGAGACTAGAAGAATTTCAAAGCTGACCCTCTGATACCGTAAAATTCAAGTTTCTCTAGTAATAAATGATGGTTTACACAGTCGAAAACTTTGCTCAGATCCCACAGTGTCAGAACCGTATGGTCTCCATTTTCCACGTTGCTAATCACCTGTAAGATGACTTCAACTACTGCGTCGGTGGTGGATCTATTTCTGATGAATCCAAATTGATGTTCATGTAGAATATTGTGTTTATTCAAAAAAAGCATTAGTCGCTCTTTCGCGATAATTTCAAGAAAAGTGTCGGTCCCAGTATTGAACCTTGTGGTACGCCATTTTTCATTTCGCCTTCTGATGAGGACAATGAGGTTTTCACAATGTGATGGATGTGCTTTTTTTTTAGCCCGACACCGACAAATAGAAGAAAACGAGGTCGACCGCCTATAGATGACTATGAGCAGACGTTTACTACGCCAAAAATCATGACAGTTTCAGGTGCCCAGGAAGACGCCTATTCCAATGACGCGATGTCTAGCAGCGAACATGACTTGAATATCTGGGAGGAGGACCAATCGGCAAATGAGGGAGCTGACAATACAGAAAACGAGGAATCCCCGGTTAAAGTAAAAAAAGAAGTGGTATGTATTCTTTGAACTCATTACTTTCAATAGGACCGATTTGTTTTTCAATTAACACGCTTTTATTAGCTCAATCTGTATGTATGTTTGTTTGTTTGTAACTCTCAAGCTCGAGATCTGTATTTGACAGAATTATTGACATTATTGCTTGATCTATTCGCGGGCAGATGGCGCTGTACATAACCTCGATATAATTCGAACTCACTTTATACTATAATAAGCTTTATCTAGCAGAAGTTTTTTTACTCGAAGAGAAAATCAAGCAGCGAATTTATTGAATTTGGAGTGCCTCAGGGATCTATACTTGGACCCTTATTATTTTGCATATACACTTGGGATCTAGTTTCTGTTTTGAGACATTGTAATTCGCGGATGACACTCAACTATATCTATCATTCAACCTTAATGACGTTGCTACTGCTAATCAAAAATTGAATGACGATTCAGCTCGTCTTATTTCAGCATCTGAAGCTCATAACCTCAAAATTATTTCAAACAAAACTAATCTGCTTGTTTTTGGTACTAATCGTAGCTTGGTGGAGAGACATATTAATATTGTTATTGGTGATACAGTAATATGCCCCACGAACGTGGCAAAAAATTTAGGTATCGAAATAGACGTGAATTTAAGGTTTACAAAACGTGTTCAAAGAAGTTACGTGAGTTTGAAAATGCTTTATCCTCATCGTCATTTATTATCAATAAGTTTGAAAATGAAATTAACAAATGATCTTGTGTCGAGTCATTTTGCATATTGTTATGTTGTGTATGGTTCATGCCTGGATGAAAAAGATATTTTAAGAATTGAGAGTTCACAAATCATTAGATTAGATAGATGGTATTAGAAAATATGAAAATATTTCATATAAACTTAAGGAAACCAATTGGTTTACTATGGAAAATACACGTGTTTTACACTCGGCTACCCTCTTTCATAAAATATTGATTAACAAATGTCCATCATATTTGTTTGACAAAATAAGATTTCGTAAAGATGTACACACTCTGAATTTGAGGTTTAAAGGGTTACTTTCTCCTCCGCCCCATCAAACCACTCTATATCGCGATCCTTCAGCTATAATATACAGGCTGATTCACGGTGGATGGCACATTAGACGTTTCTGGTGAACCAGACAACGGATCACTTTGAAAATTTAATGGAGGGCATATTCGGACATTCTCTAGCCAACTAAAATATTTTCGACAATGCGGTGTTGCCGCTTCTATTAGAAAGCAGTAGCAACTTTGATTTTTCAAA